GCAACAGGCTCCCTATTAATACTCCTGATTTCAGAAGAATCGCAGGACAAAGAAGTGTATTGTGTATTGTGATGTATTGTATAGTTTCTGATAGAATAACACAAAGATGCAATTTAATTTTACAGTTTATTATGTGCACATAAACATGTAATTTGATCTAGTACTTTGTAAGTGCTTTTGACATTTGTTATTAATGATTTCTTGTATGTTTAAGTCTATTAAATGAGCTGTAGTAACTTGAATTAGCAGCACAAATGGAAATGTTTGGAGGACATCTAGTGTTACGTTTCTGTATTGCATCACTTTTTTTGGCCTCACCTATTTGTAATCAGTGTGTTTAGCACAAGGGATGGATCACTGACTACGCCAGCGCGGGGGCCACCAGCAGGCCTTGGGGACTTTAGCCCACAAAACCCGAGGCAGTTCAAAGACAAAGGGCAGTTTAATGCAGATGCAAAAATTAGATGAATTTTGAATACAGTACAGGGCAGCCAATCAGAACAGAGGTAATTTACATATTTCAGACTTTCCATTTGCAAAGGAAATACATTTCCATATATTTTTTGAAATATGTGTCCAATTCCATTACTGTTGTATATATATATATATATATATATATCAAAATATTAAAAATGAACACTATTACATAGTTTTCAGCTTCATATATGCGCATATATCAGAAAATATTTAAATATTCGAAAATATCAGTTACATATATATTTTGCACCTATTTTTTAAAACATTACATTTATCACATATATAGTTATTATGAGCAAATATAAGGACATATATTTTTTCCTCCATATGGCTTAAATGTAAAGCCTGTTAATTCTAATTAACAAGGAGAGGTAGAACAGTGGTCATGGTTTATAGACCTTTTTTTATAAATAGAACCACAGAAATTCAATAATTTGACCTCAAATAAAATGCTAGAACAAAGACAAAGAGCGTCGCTGATGACAAGCACCAGCATGTAGTGCACCCAAGGTCCTAAAAAGCACTCGCATGGCCACAATGCTCAATACACTCAGCCATTTCAACAAACAGAAGGCTGTTTTCACTCTAGTTCTTAGAGTACCAGTAGCTCCACCTTGTGGACAATCTTATTAAATGTGAGTGAGTGAGTGAGTGAGTGAGTTACAAGCCAGGTCCATGAGGTGCATTATATCTAAAAATGTAAGATATCCCTTCAGCAAGATAATTGACCCTGAAAATGGCGATATGTAAGCTTTTTTTTGTACTGCTGTGGCACTACTTGGAATAGCAGCAACCACTTATTTAACCCATTTATAACTGATATTTTAACATATCCACTCATTTCAAACAGAGACTTTGCTTTAGCTTTGCTTCCTAGCTATGTTCGGGGCCCTTCAATCATAAGTTTTTACAAGTAATACAGGCTAGTCGAGATGTGCTGTGCAGTAATGCATTATTGTGATGTTATTATGATAATAATTATAACATACTGCAGTTCATTATTTAACCAATATAACATATAAGTGCATTTATTATGTTTCATTTGTTTAGTTCCTAATCAGAATTGAACTTAAATATTTTTTTAAATATTATTTTGTAAATTAAACTTATTCCACATCATCTTTCTGTATATCCTTTGGTAACTGCTCTTCTACCACAGGTTCAGAATCACAGGCACAAATAAGGGGCAGGAGGGTGTTTGTGTGTGCATGAATTTGTGCATAGCTGCAAAGTTCTTTGGTTCACGGCCTGATCGTTTATCTTTTACTCATTAAACCGGGTGTACAGCATTCCAGCACTTCTGCTGTTGCATCACTGGATTTCCCAGTTGCATAGGTGAAGGCTACTGGAAAATGAAGGGAAACATGCACCTGGAAATTCTGCCACCCATAAATAGAGTCACGTGCTTGTAAGTTTCCACATGGTAAATCTAAACAAACACCTCGGCTGACAGCTGACCGCAGAGCGTATGGAAATAAACAGGCTTGCAGACAGGCGCTAAGGCATTTAAATAAACAAACGGCATTTCAACCTCAGAATCTAAGTCAGTAAATTATTAAGCTGTTTTTTTTCTTTGAGAGTTTCCAAATGCTTCTGTTATCTTATCTTGGGGAGGTTGGGGAAACGTGACGTACCTGGACATGTGCCAAGTGATCAGCTCAGGCTATGATAAGGTCAGGATGTTTTGAAGTCTTTCCATGCAAGTTATAGTGGCTGTTTCCTTGCAGGCTGCAGCTCTGCACTGTTCAGCATTTTATCTTATTGAATACACCTGATTCAGCTCATCAGCTAATCAGCAAGGCCTTCATGAAGAGTATTCAGAGTACTGTAAGAGGGAAAATGCTGATCTGTGCAGAGCTGTGGCCTGGAAGGAACCCATTCCAAAAGCTAGGCTGCATCTGAGAAGGGTGAATTCTTGGTAGCACTGAAATACAAATAAGGCTCCTCATTTTTATTACATAATGCAAACAGACCAAATCTCTCAGGGTCATTTTGTCACATCACATGATGTGGAAAACTGGGAAGCATAATTAAATATCCTGCAAGCTGAAAATTGTTAAACTCACTAAAAGCAGGAGCATTATGCACCCCATATTCAATTCACATCCTTTTAAACAGATACACCGCTAAAGAAATAGAGTACTGGATATTTTATACATTTTACTGGCCTTTTTACACGTGTTTGCATGAGACTTTCACCAGTAGCTGTCCAATGGGCGAAACACAGCTAGCCTTTTTTACAAACACAGACTGATCTTCGATAATCTGTCATTACACATCAAAAAAAAGCTGAAGTATACATTTTCATCATCTGCAAGCTTTTGGAGTGCTGCATATAAAAACAACTTACATGTGAACATCTCTTTGGGTCAGATGAATGCACAAATGACTATGAGTGACAGAAGACTCGGTAGCGGCCTCAAAAATTGTCTGAATGTTGGCTGCATTTCTCGGGTGACTTCAAAGGATCCTTGGGCGTTCTAAGTTTCATTTTCACATAGATTCTTTCTTTAAAAGAACGATGCGTGCAGAATGTTAGTATGTGTAATTGATCACTATTTGTAACTAAGACCATCACCTCCCACTTCATTTCATGTGAAATGAAGGCCTTTATAAAATTGTAGAACACATTGATTTCTTTGGATGGCCAAAACTACTGAAAGCTAAGGGATCATCAACAAATTGCATCGTACTGAACAAATTTGTCATCTCTGTGTTTGAAATATTTCCATGTACTGCTCCACTTACCAGTGAACATCTGTGTGAGACACAATATCAGCTGCTTATGTCCCCACCTTGTATGTAGTTCTACATCATCGCTTATTTAAATACCCAATTTTTAAATAGACATACATATCACACATAAAGCACAGACAATTAAGTCATCTATAATCTAGCATTTTGTTTCATAAAACAGTGCAGCTTTCCTGTTTTCCTGATCTAATGCTTTGTAGCTGAGCTGTTGCTACTCCTAGATGCTTCCATTTCACAGTGGCACTTACAGTTGTCCAGGGCAGATCTAGAGGGACAGAAATTTCACAAACTGACTTGTTGCAAAAGTAGTATCCTATGACATCTTCAGTACAATTCTACTGCCAATGTCTATGGAGATTGCATGGCTATGTGCTTGATTTTATACACCAGTTAGCAATAGATTTGGCTGAAACACCTAAACTCAATAATTATCCACATACTTTTGGCCATATAGTGTAATTATGCAAGTTTAAAAAGACAGGTGATCCTAAAGTAATGGAAAGTGACCGTTTACGTTACATTAAAATAGCAATCTTTGGGAATAAATTACAGATCACATTTTCAACAGGTAATCAACACCAGAAGTAACCCTCCCAACCCTGCCCATGATACACTCAGAAAAGAGTATCGTGACATATGTATTGCTACAGTTTTGATAAACAGTTGTCTTAATGCCCACTCCTATCCTGCACTGCAGGTTTCATGCGTTGCCTGACTCATAATGGGCTTGATCTTTACCGGATGAATTAAATTAGGCGTGTAGAGGCCCTTCAGCACACCAACTCAGTAAATATATATATGTACTGGTGGTATTCCAGTGGCAGCTTAAGGAGCTTCACAGGATGATAAAACTTAAGAGTAATAGAAAACTAATAGAAAAAGAGTTTTATTTTAAAATCAATGGCACAGATCAAATTTAAATAAATAAATAAATAAATAAATAAATAAATAAATACCAACAGAGTTACAATTTTAATTAAACACTAAATTCAAGAGATGCATTTTCAAATGCTTTGTAAAAGTGTCCACTGAGTGTGGCTGTCTAACAAAAGGTGGAATATAGTTCAACAGTTTAGTAACATAATAACAGAAAGACGCCTCTTCACGTTTTTGTTGTTTTTTTTTTTTATTTAATGGAAGGTGTTTGCAGAAGGCCAGTATCTGCAGATCTAAGATCACATACTGGAACATAAACAGACAGACATTCTGTGAGGTAAGTAGGTACTTTAAGGTGCTTTAAAATCTAGTAACAACTTTAAAATCTATCTTAAAAAATACAATCAGCCAGTGCAGTTCTTTGTTTTTGTTAGGATCCATGCTGCTGCATTTTGTACAAGTTGTAGAAGATGTACTGCTTCGTAAGGAAGTTCAGAAAGAAGAGCATTACAGTAATCAACTGTGCTTGAAGTTTAGTGGGATAAAACTCAGAATCACCCCCATGTTTCATACTTCAGGTTTGGTATATAAGCCTAGTTTCTCACAAAGCAAAGGCCCTAAAACTGAACCTTGTAGGACTCCACAAGAAATGGTTATGTGTTCATTTTCTCTTCTGGTAAGAATGATCCTAATGAGCTGCTTATAGAGAGCTGGTGTGTGGGTGTGTGTTCATGTGCGTGTGGGCGTGTTGGATATTTAACAACAGTGCTCTTGGGGACATGCGGAACCTGCAACTGGAATGTTTTGTTTTACTGATATGAACCTCTTCCTCTTTGGCTGTGCTTTCCAAACAGAGAAACACTCTTCAAAGGACACACGTATGCACAAACTCTTTAGGAAAGTAAAATAGATTTAATATATTCCATGTAAAAAAGCATACATAAATATGCAGAGTGGTTATGCAAATTGCATAAAGAATAATAGCTTCTTCATAAAGAATAACATATGAATAAGTTACAAATATATTATTATTATTGTTATGATTATATATTAACATCTTGGTAAAGTGTTAAGTTTCTTTAGATGCTTTGCTTCAATTTCTTCACTAATGTTTTGCCTGCTTCTTCGTCATAGCCCGCACTTTGTCCCTGAGGGGGGAGAAAAGAATTGTTATTTTAAGAGTGTGCTAAAATTCCTTTCTTAAAATAAATTTCCTTTATTTGTCACACAAATGCAGTTTAGTATCAGTGCTTACTTGAGTTTGCGGATAGTCTCCATCACCCAGTTCTGAGAAGGATCGGCGCATACATTTCGGCCAATGCTAGTGTGGAAGCTAAAGGGGGAAACAAAAAAGAGCTCAATATAATGTTTCAGTGAAATGCACGACACAGAGAAGGAGAGAAAGATTAAGTATGTGATTGTGAAAAATGACCAACTCACATGACAGCATCGATGTTGCAGAACGTTCTGACTGTCTGGATGGAATATCCTCTGATACGTGTGAAAGGGATCTCTCCTTTTGTGTATTTTCTGCAACAGGCTGAACAAGTAGAAAAAAAAGCACATTAGCATGCTTGTTTCTCAACATGTCACTTGTACCTTAACCAATTTCTCTTCCTCAATCTGTTTGCCCTTTGTAAATTAGGTCTTTATGCATCTGACTGTCTGATTGTTATATGTCCTTTTTGTTTTATGTCCTTTGTATCATGCATGTTATTTTTTCAATGCACCTACACCCAAAAAATAATGCATGCATGTGCATTTTATATTCACATAATGTATTGCTGAATAAAGGGGTTTTTGATTCTGACTGGAGTTCCAATTTACAGATTTCTCTGAAATTCTGCTTGTTTGTAATCCAAGCTGTAATAAACCATTATAGCATATCATCACTCTGATATCAAAAAAATTTGAAGTTACTTTTTCATTTTTTTTACATAAATTTCTAACACTTGCAGCCCTTCACATTGTGTGATAGTTGCATTAGTAGGCCAAAACAAATGCTAGCAAATCTAAGATATTGTTGCATTAACATACATCAAATTAAGAATGTTTTATGATGAATAGACTAAAATAAATAATGAAGTATAGCTCTAAATAAAGTCTCATTAATGTGCATGGAAATTAACATGTTTTCCTTCTACTATATTCCATTCTAGAGGTATAAGGTTTTGTCACAATACACTCCACAGTAGTAAATCTTTGGACGTTTACAAATAAAGTGAAAGACAATCAAGATGAAGCATATTAGCAGTGTCAACATAGTTAAGAATGTGTTCCAAGCACTTTATAAGCACAGACATAGTGGACAGTTACATGCATCCACCTGCAAATGGATCCTAATTCAAGCAGGCTAACTGTCAAAGAGATAAAGAAGAGGATAGATTCTTACCCAAAGCGGTGGCATTCTGACAGAACAGACTGACTGTCAGAACTAGCAGGAGTGTGAGCGCTGTGCCAGAAATCTGGGCCATTATCTCTGCGTCTCTGTTGGTGCAGGGTGTGTAAAAGTGTTCTTCAGAGTGATTGAAGCTCGCTGTGTCATCTGCAGTCTCTCGGCAGTGGCTTTATAGCCACACAGGCTGGAAATTACCTACCTGAGTGGATTTTCCAGTTGCGCGCACCCACACATAACTTTCTCCATCAGACAATGAGGAAGAACTTTAGGTTTATGTAAAAGAGGATTTAGGGGATTTTAGTTTTAGAGGTATTTTTGGACTATTGTATCCTACAAAATGTCAACTCAGCAGTGTGTTACTATAATTAGTAGCTACGTCAGAGGACCGTTTTGTGCACTGTTTACTATTGCCAGGATTTATTGCCAGTGCAATATATTACACTATTTTTGGTGGTTAGTCAAGCCTTTATTAATCACTTTTTGTGCAGATTGTGGGATGTTGGTGCTTACATCCCTAATGCCTGTGCTACCTTCTGGTTCTCCATTAGTATCAGTAGTTAAAATGTTATAGAGAGGCCGGTGGGAGTCTCTGCTTGCTAATCTACTCTGCTAATTGTATATATCATGTCCAGTGTGTTCCAAACTAAACAGAATAGGTTGTGTGTCTTTGCTGAGCCGAGCAACTGCACCTCCTGTCCTCTCCAGTTTGAGATTGGTACAAGATCGACCCTGACAAGGTGTTCCTGCTCGCCTGCCCTCAGGACCAGGCCGACTACCATGGAACAACCAGCATGTGCCTTTCACCCTCCTGCTATGCTGAAATGCCTTACTTGCATGTACCATGTAACACTGACACGTACCTTGCAGTACTGAGTGCAGCATGAATTCCATGCTTGTCTGGTGCTGGTTTATACTGGTCTGATGCTGGTTTAGCTACTCACCCAGCATAGTCATGCTGGTTAACCAGCATAACAGCATACAAAACACAACATATGTCTGGTTTTGCTGGTGACCAGTATATTAACTTCTATTGCTGTTGACCAGCATACCAGCATCCAAAACACAAACATATTGTTGCAGCTGGGACAAAACTTTGCATCTTCTTTTTATCATTGACATAATATCAAACCACCAGCTGGCCTTTACTCTTTGTCAGAATTTCAAGACGAATGGATCAATAGAAATGGTCTAAGGTTACTTGGAATAAGTCATTTTTTTTCCCTTCTGCTGTAAAGTTACCTTTTTGGAGATACGAGGTTTTCCTCCGACAGTGCCAATACGCTGGTTTCCCTGGTGACCAGCCATGCTGGTCTATGCTGGTTTTCTTAGCAGGGTTACCTGTTCATGTTGAAATGTTCCTGTGTCTAATATGCTTTCTGACTAATTATGATATTTGAGGATGTGTATGAGTTGATGAATGAATACCTGGCTAACTACAGAAAAGGAAATAACAAAAACAAACAAAGAAAAAAATGTACTTGCCCCAGAAGCTAGTGCAGGGCTGTAGGATAGCTGATAGCACTGGAGATTAAAATTTGAAAACACAGTGGATGAACAACAGAAGCTGCCTCTGAAGATAAGCTTATAAGAGAAAGAATTCCTGGCCTACCCTATGTACAATATTTGCTAATGAGCTAACACTAACTGGCACAGTGTTCTCAGTCACGTCCTTAACAAGGTGTTCTTGGTAACTAGTCACATTCATAGTTGAACAAGTTTGTTTCGTAGTTGAAAAGTATAATATACACACTCAGAAAGCTGTCACATTGTTTTTACAGTCCTGGTAAAACATAAAATCAGCTTTTCTCTGAATTGTCAGCCTGTTTATTTTCATCGTCTTCCCATGATGAAAGGCACTAAGTACCCAAATAGTCATTTCAGTATTTGATTACTGGCACCTCAACAGTACTTGAGTACCCGTGCACATGCCTAATGTCTAACAGCATATCGCTGCTGTCGGAACTAAGCCTTGTATCTCTATTTTAGTCGTTTTTCAGTTTTTGACATAATTTGAAAGTACTTGTTGCCCTTTATATTGTGTGTAATATTCATGATGAATGGACCAAAAGAAATGGCTGAAAATTACTTTGAAAAAATTCTGGTTCCATTGATTTACATTCTAAGTAAAGTATGTTTTTTCCTTTTCCATCATGTTGGAAGTATGAGGTTTTGTTCGGAGTAGTTGCGATATTTACCTCAATTTCTAGTCTACCAGATTTAATTCTCAGTGTGTCTTTTTAGACAATATTTGAAAGATCTCTGACTTTTGTCACTGGTTCTTATTGGCTGATCTGAATGCTTCTGTTTAATGCTTAGGCTCACCTAATTTCTTTTTTCATAATTCTCATAACTCCGTTTTCTGTTACCCTTATAAGGGGATTTCTGTAAAGCTGCTTTGTGACAATGCCTGTAAAAAGTGATACACAAATTAATCTGAACTGTATTGCTATAAAACATTTCTGGCAAATATCCTACAATTTACCAGCAGTTTTAACCAGAAGCTGCGGCCTTGAGTATGGATTTGAACCTCAGGGTTCTCCAAGAGGGCCGTGCAGGGTCTATGTAATTGGTTCTTGATGATTTTGTGTGCCACTGTATTAGATTCAGCCTGTGGCAACACTTGAGAAAGGTGTCAAACAGGTAAAAGCTACGCTGATCCACTGCATGGAAAAATAAACAAGACAGACAGGTTGACAATAGAGCTCTATCTTCATATTTTGTCAGCAAAGACAAAGGCATGAAGAAATATTGGAATTGCCAAATGATTATGCAATAATGTACAACAGGACCAGGGAAACCTTTTATGTTCTAATTATACATGATAAAAGGAGGAGCTGACGAAAGCTAAAATGCTGGTACTGAAAGTTCAGCACTGTGCAAAAGTAAACAAGAAGTTATTTAAATTAAAATCTCGACAGTGTGTTTTTCCCAGTGAAACACCATATAATATTAGAATAAATGCTAATACACATAAATACAGTAAAAACATACATTTCAGTTTTTAAAAATGCTATCTACATGGTGAGAACCGGGCTGCCAATTAATTTCATATCAATTTATATATTCATTTATATTGGCCATTAATCTATATATATATATATATATATATATCTATATATATATAATCTATATATATATATATATATATATATATATATATATATATATATATATATATAAAATGTGACTGTTTCATAGGTGTATTTTTATGGTATATATGTACATTTTTTTCCAATATATAAATTACACTCACCAAAAACAACAAAACAAACAAACACAGCAACAAAAAAGAAACTGTGCACTAAAATTTGCAGAAAAACGTCTTGTATAAACTTCTGCATGTGACTGTACATGTAATAAAACTAAATAAAATATAGTGTAATGTCATAAAATACATTTTTTTTTAATTACCTGTTTTTTTTTGTACTGTTGGCCATAAACATTACACTTTGACCCCCCAACAAAAAAGGTTTGGACATCTCTGGGATAGAAGAACACAATTAGAAGAACACAGGTTTGAATTATTTTATTGTTTTTTTTTTTCGTATGAATGTTTTTGTTACGCATCAGGCCTGTGATAGTACAATTACTAGTACTCAATACCACTACACAAACTACTGAATCATAAGATCATAAACATGAACTGTGTTAGAGTGAGATTAGCCTTTAGCTGCGTATTTTCCATTTCAATCCACTGCACATAAGGAAATGCTGACAAACATGTGCCCTTTAAGAGCCCCTTTATATCCTTATCAGTGATCTACATCTGAACAGCTTGGGGGAAAAACCTATAAGCAGTAGTACAGTGTTTAAGAACTGATACTATGTTGGTGTACCTCTTAATATGTCACACCACAAAACGAACATTAAAAAGTTTTACTGTATATAAGAAAAAAGCTAGTTCTGCAGACGAAGATTACATTGTGTCTTGCTCTAAGTGATACCGGACTGTATAAATTACATCGTAATACATGTTGAAAATCCTTGTTGTCCCAGATTTCACCTCACTGGTGTGGGAAAACCAACGCCTACTGCTGTTAGGACTCATATGTCACTTAAAGTGGGGCTGATGTGTGGGCTGCCAATGATTTTTGTTTATTTTCTAGGTCATAAGGAGACATTATGCATCTGATCTTTAAAATCAAAGAGGGAAATGTATCTCGTAACTCATTAAGTAGGTCACGGTGGAGACAGACGCTTTAAAATGTTTCTGTTAATTCATCATACTTCCCCTCCAAACCCACAGAATTTCCTTTGCCTTTAAGCACAAAAAGCTAAAGAATAAAACAGAATTGTTAATATCCTGCCTCCGTCACTGTTATGCCATTTCGGTATTTATTGTATATGTTTTGAATATGACTGACCCTTACATTATATGAACGCTTCATAATGAACGGACAAATAGAAATGGTCCACAGTGAATTGGAATTTGTAAAATGTGGCCTATCAAGTGGGGTGTGGGGGGGCCATGTCAAGGGTCTATGGCCTAAATATGTAAAACCAAGTGAATAAAGTGCACCTACATTTAAAGTTACCATACTGTCAGTTTATCTAATAGCTTGTAAATCAATAAAAATATTAGTGACAAGAATAGCATCCTGTATTTTCTGAGACATATTCAATACAGAATAATAGTAAGAAGATTCTTAATAGTGAAAATCAATATTTTCTCCACTGCAATGGCAAGTTTTGTTCCATTATTATTTGTCACTGAAATACACTTTTCATCTGATCCACATGCTTACATATTTTTAGAAAAGTGCTATAAAGGACTGTAGAGGTGTAAGTCAAAAAAAATTTGCACAATATAATACACTGGAAAAAAAGACCTAAAATGCTGTTTTATTGACCTGAGAAAATTTGATCACATGCTACGCTTTACTTTTATTTTTTCCACTGAAAACTTCCCTTTTCCCTCCCCTTAAACTCCCAGGCTTATTACATACTGAGGCTTGTTATTCAGTAAATACATGGACTTCAATGTAAACTGGCTGAGCTGCTCTTAGGTTATAGAAGTGTCTTGTAAAACTTTGGGCCCCGGCCATTTAAGTCAGGAAATGAATGCAAACTGTGCACTAAATTGTGTAGAAATAAATGGAATGTGTTTAAGCACATTCCTTGTACAGGATATGTCAACATAGTGCTGGGCAATATGACAATATATATCGTTATCAGGATAACTTATGTCACAATATGCTTTTCTGAACATATTGTGTATATCATCAGTACTTATGAAAACACTGACCAGCTGCCTCTTTCATTATACAGAGAGCAAATTTGGTCCCATTTAACAAGATTTAGAGCAACACATTATGATAAATATTGAATAAAAATCATTGTGCTCACAGTGTTTGATAGTGTTTTTTTTTGTAGCACTACTGGATCTTTCTCTCTGTTCCAACTGATCAAATGTCTACATATCATAACATATCGTGTATTGTAAAAATTTCTTGAAGTATCGTGATATTATATTTTTGTCATATTTGTGTTAACGTACTTCTAAAACATGTAGTTTGACGGGGTGCCAAAACTTCTGCACAAGGCTGTACGTAAATGTGTTTCATATTTTTGTTGTTTTTGTTTTTAATACAGTTACCATTTCAGAGGAATTGGGTTTTGTTATAGCAGGGAGGACTTTGCTTTTGATTTTATTGTTAAAAAAAAAACAAATACACAAACAATACAGAAATGCACAATATAGAGATTCCATTAAGAATTCATAACTTCTATGATTACAGTCTGTCTAGGACAGACTGTTATCAGATAGGAGATGACAGATACAGATAAAGTAGAGTTGGGTTTTCTGGCTTTGATATTTAAAAATGATATGCCCACGCTGAAGTATCAGAGGGCATTTTATTCAGCAAAGAAATACCACAGTTATTCTTCAGATGGTTTTAAGCCTGCATTATATTTTAGGCGTACTTTAGGCCTTCCTCTGTGCCTCTGTTATTATCCTGACACTGCAGGTTTAGTAAAGTTCGGCTACAATAAAAATACTGGGATGTGACCGTATTCAAAGATACGCAGTAATGTTACTGCTATGCTAATTCAAAGTCTTACATAAATGAACAAGAAGGCATAACTACGTTCTCCAGTTGCTTGTACTAGTTTTATGTGCATGAGTTTAAAATCATGATGTACTGTAATTAAAGGGGAATTACACACACACACACACACACACACACACACACACACACACACACACACATTTTCTAAACCGCTTGTCCTTCTGGGTTGCTGGAGCCTATCCCAGCAGTTATTGGGTGGAAGGCAGGATACACCCTGGACAGCTTGCCTGGGAATTCCAGCGACGTTTTAAACTTTCTCTATAATTAAATGGTTTTAGAGAAACTTATTGAGTCAGAATTGTTTACAGTGTTGGTGACAGAAACCAGACATTCAAAGAGTTTAGAAAGAAATACTTGCAGTGAGTTCTATGGCAAAATAGTCCCCAGTGAAAATTAATTTTATCAGATTATAACTATTTTAATACCAGCAACGTTGCACATGAAAACTCAGAAGACACATGTAGCTTCATTAGAATATTAAACTGTTAATACTGGTATTACACCAATTTTCACAAATTGCTGCATAAATTAAATTATTGAGATGTAAACGAAGTCATTCAGAGGGGTCTGATGTGAAGTAGTTCATTGCAGATAAACTTACTGACTCGGATTACTTATAATGGTGCTGATAGGAACCAGACATTACAATCTCTATAACACAAATATAGCCATTTTGTTTGCTTTTCAAAATGACCAGTGAACCTACATGTGTCCTTCAGGTTTTTATATGTAATGTTGATAATATGAAAATAGTGACAAATCTGAGAAAATAAGTTTTCTTTGGGGACTATTTAGCCTCAGAACGGCCTTTATGTACCCTGCCACTATGAATATCTTTAAAAATATGTTTTTGGCTAAAATTTATCTCAAAATTATCATAAAACAATATCTCAGACACCAGGCAGCACATTTATAACTACTTCACATAATACCTTTCTGTGAGGTACAGTTGTATTCAAATGTTTTGGTGCCCCTGATTAATTTAATTTAACATTTGTGTTTGTTTTCTAAGTGAAAATACATAACACATCCTATACAGTTAACATAACTCTGCACTTTTTAATGCACAATTATTGTTTATTTCCTGAATTTAACCTCTTAAATGGCCAGCACCCACTGACAGGCCCAAAGTTTTATTACACTTCTATAACCTAGAAATAGCTCAGCTAGTTTACACTGAAGTCCCTGTAGTTACTGAATAATAAGCCTCAGTATGTAACGAGCCTGGGATATTAAGAGGCTAAAATATTGGAAAGAAAAAAAATAAAATGTGGCTTGTGCAAAAGTAATGGCACTAAATCAGCAGAAAAATATCATATTTAAGATTGATCCCTGTAGAGCACGTGTTAACTTATTTTCTTTACTAAAGATGTCTTAAATCAACAAAATATGTCATTTGACCGGGAGTGGTTAAACCTTTACATATCACTGTTGTCGGAAAACCTTGTATCTCCAAAATGACAACTTTACAGGAAAAGGAAAAAACATACTTTACTTTTAACGTAGGTCAATGGAACCAGACTTTTTCCAAGTCATTTTGGGCCGTTTCTTTTGGTCCATTCTTGAAATTTACACACAATGTAAAGGGCAACAGCCATTTTTAAATGTCAAAAACTGAAAAACAAAAAATGGAGATACGAGGTTTCTTCCAACAGCAGTGACATGACTGTAGCTTTTAAAGACTTAAGGCACTTCAGATGTCTAGTTCCCATCACCACCACTGTGAACAATTCTGACTCAGTAAGGTTCACTAGAAGAGAACATTTCACACCAAATCACTCTGAATGACTGTTTACGTCTTAACCAAAGAGCTTTGAAAAGTGGAAGCGTTAGTTGGGATGTAATATTTCTTACAAGGCAGCTTTAAAGTAGTTTCTTAAGTAGTTACTCAAGCTGTGGCCTAAATTACACTAAAATAGAAGTCAAAGTAGTTTCGTAGCTCATTGATGATCTATGAGACATTTTGTGGGTTGTGTTGAAAGCAAATACAGTTCATTTTATGTTTAACTTTTATACCATCCTAACACGTACAGCAATAATACTCAAGCCAATTTTCATATCAAATAATGTCCGGAATGTCGCCTGTTTCAAAGTAAAAAAAAATAAAAATTAATTTTCTGCTCGTAATGGCATTCTAGGAACAGTATGTTCGCTGTGGTTGACCCAAATACAGCTTCCCCTACGAGAAATTTCCCCCCGACTTCCTCTACCTAAAAGACGGTCCCGGAATTTTCCCCAAGTTAATGTATAAAAGCAGAATTTACAAATGCCAGGTGTTAGAGCCAGTTTGACGGACTTGGAAGCGTCATCATCCAAAATCAGCAAGGCCTTCACGACAGCCACTATCATTATCTCCGTCACCTTGTTTGGTCTCTCTCTACATCAGCAAGTGACTCATTTCGTTACACAATGACCAAACTGTTCCTCGTTCTGCCTACGGTGCTGGTGCTGCTGTGTGTTTGGGTATCTCTGGGAGAAGCCAGTAAGTAGACCTTGACTTCAGACTTCAGTCACTACTAGATCGAAATCCACTGTATGTTTCCCTGACTAAATGTGAATGGCCTAGTTTAGGGGTTTCAGGCAGGCTGGTAAAAGGCCAGATGATCTACAAAGCTGTATGAACTGTTATTCCAGTGCATTGCTTTGATGTGACTTTTTCAGAATTAGACTAGTGGAATTTAGCCTGTTTGTAACCATGTAAGTGAGACGTATGTGTAAAAGCTTGTTATTTTTAGATATGAGACATTCTAAAATGAGCACATTCTGCTGGGGGCCGATAATTAGAATATATCTTCCATTCTGTAGCAACAAAGATTCCGCTATATCATCAGCTTCATATTTAAGGTGCCATCTGCAATGTGAATAAACCCACTTTGAAATGGAAACTTCACTTGTTAAAAAAAAAATCACCACAGCGACGAACAGCATTAAATGATTAACTATATAAACTCTATATTAACTATATTAACTATATATAACTCAATTTCGACAAACATGTCGGATAGAACTATAGAATTCTCTGCGATGTTTAAGTCTTCGGCCTTTAGTCTGTTAGATGACTTTAGACTTAATCCACTGTACGTTTCTCTGACTGAATGTGAATGGCCTAGTTTATGTGTTACGAGCAGGTCTTGCCTTGCTTTGATGCAGCATTCTCAGAATTACACTAGTGAAATATAACTCATTTATAACCATGTATTAGCTTTGTTTTCACACATCTAGATTTTGGAAATAGGGCAATGTAGTATTCCAACACTGTCTCTGATAATCTGAATGTATTATTGATTCTCTAATAATTGTGAAATTTTGTTAAAATCGCCAAATATTGCATAGATGCTGATTTTTCACAGGTTATAAAAGAAGCAGTTTAAATGTCACTCTCAATCAAAAAAAGAAACAAAAATGGCATTTATGACACCAACAGTCATGTCATAAAAAATGACTTGATTTCTAATAATAATAGCTTAGCTTAGCTTTCTTCTAAATCTGTATCTTTATGAGCTTCTCTAATTCTTTATATATTAATGATTACTCAATTTAACATGTATTGATCAGCATTGGCTACATAGGCCTCTTATCCTGCCATGCCAATAAAGCATATTTGTCTTAATTTGATTTAATTTGAATATTAACAAATGACATAAATGGCATTTATGACCTCAACAGTCACTGGTGTCATAATAAAACAACTATTTTTTCATTAACAATATTTTTTAAAGCATTTGGAAGAAATCATTGGTAGTCAAAATAAACAAAACACTAGCAATACACCATTCTGCTTTGGTAGACTAGATTCTGCTCTTTCCAACTCTTGGCGTTCATCTAATGTAAAGTGTATGGTCTTGTGTGCAGGTCCAGTGAAATGCTGTACAAGCTTTTCCCCGCACCCTCTTCCTCTCAATAGACTGAAGCACTTTGCCATACAGGATGCCACTACGGTCTGCCGACTGAACGCTGTGATGTAAGTAAACTTTAAACAGAGGCAGTAAGCAAATACAGCTGTGATTTATTTAATACTCATCCTGAGCACTTAAAATCTATGTTGTAGTATGATTCTTTGTTTGACTGAGACACTGTACCCTGCAGTTTAAACAGAGAACAACCTTAAATATGGCATTTTAATATACAAATTAAACTGCACAATTTTTAACATATTGCGAAAAAACATAATATATAAAATGCGTCATAACATTTATATAGGCCACATTTATTAACAAAATTTCATTTTACCAGGGGCCGCCAAACTCTAACAGACTATATATAAATCAGTCATTGTCAATCAACATTCACATTTAGAAAACATGATGTTTTTTAATTGAAATGGCAAAATTAATAGGAATTTTGTTTAAAAAATAGGGGAAAATGGGGTTATACTTTGCATTTTGTTGCCATATGGCAACAGCATATGAAAGTGGAATTGCACTTTTAGATCATTGTTTTCATACGACAACACCTTGCAGTAAATGGTTGAATCCAAAAGTAGGTTATTGTGACTGTTGTAAAATTTAGACTTTATTGAACTTTAAAGGAACACTTTTATATAACTTTATATAAGTCTATTCAGATTTATTAGAATTACTCTGAATTTCACATCAGATTTGAATCTGAACACCACATCCAGATGTTGACTATCATGTAATCTACATAATTCCTATGGGTTCATAGAGTAGTCTTATAATGTAAGCCACATTCCCTATGTTGGTTAATATGGTGGGTTAACATGCTTTGGAAAGTGACAGTGATGGAAAAGCTGATGTATTTTCCCTCTCTTCATAGATTTACCACTGTGAAAAGCAGAAAGATCTGTGCCAATCCTGATGCCCAATGGGTCAAAAACGCTGTTCGTCACCTCAGTAAGTACATGATTGTACAGAATTTCCATTAGCTTTAATTATCTTTTATTTGGTCAATTCAATATGTCATCACTTTAACTGCTCCATAAGCTCATTTCAATTTGCACTACTGTTTATATTTGCACTATTTATACCCACAGACCTTAATCTGTATGTGCCTTATGTCACTTTAGTGTTAATTTCAGGACCTTCTTATATTTATACTGTTTCTATATATTTTTTTCTTTTTATTATTCTATTTTTCTACAATTAGTGTTTATTTTGTTTAGTGTTTACACCATGGGGTCAGAGTAACGCAGTTTCAATACTCTGTATGTCCTGTACATATTGTAGTATTGACAGTAAATCTGACTTGACTTTACTTGACTATGGGCTCAGCAAGATTAGATCAGTAGTCCCCATCCCAGTCCTCAGACTGTTCATATTTTTCCTCCAACCCAACTTGCCACACATAGGGATGAAGGAAAAATGTGGACTGGCTGGGGGTCCCTGAGGGCCAGGCTGGGAACCACTGGATTAGATCATTAGTCTCAGCTACTGGTGATTTTGATATGTTAATAAAGCTACACATGAATAATAACTGGTAATGATAATAATAGTTACTGAGTATTGCTTATTTGCACTGAAATTTATTGAAGCAAGTTGTGGTTTTCAAGAATGTGGACAAACAGGCCTCGAACTTGCGCTCTGTACTAATGAAACGCATTTCATGCAGAAAACAAAGAGAAGCCAACCGAGTCGAGCAGTGAAGCTGTCTGAAGTGATCCTCATCACCCACTGGCTGTTCTGCCTTATATTTCAAGCGTCTGAAAGCGACTGGAAACTTTAAAAGAAGATGATCCACCCTGACATCTGAACTGAATGTACTGAATTGAATGTATACCTGATTTAATGTACTGAAAGAAGCGCGTTTGTAATAAAGATTTTTTTTTTACCTCAGCTCTACTTTCGTTGGTCTGTAAGTTTCAGAATCACAAGATGTCATAAGCAGAGTGGTAAACAATGGCACTGTGCGCTCATTCTGAGAGCCAGTGGTGTTTCTCTGTGGTTACAGTGAACGCTGCTCTGCACTGGAGGCGTTTGCGTCAATATGGCTTTAGTCCTCTAGATGGCAAAAGAAGACAGCCTGTGACGTCATTTGGTTGCCAGTACGATATAACATCAACGTCCCGTTCACGAACTCTTCAGAAAAAAGTGCTCTTATGACAGAGACATATAGTAATAATACAGGATTTCTGTAAGAATGTTATAGTAAATTCAGACACGTAATACACGAGTATTATAAGAAGGTACTACAGTTCTCTCAATGCACCCGGTACATTTGCATATGTTTTGGAACTGTCCCTTTATCAGGGGATTTTTGGGATTTTGTTAACAAAGATTAGCATTTGCTTATTTTACAGCTGCAAAAAGGACAATTCTGCAGTTATGGGACACTTTTAGCGTTTCTGTAAGTTCTTACTGGAAGCTCGCTCTCTTTAAAATAGCAAATTTGGAATGTACAACCTAATGTGGCACATCCTAAAACAGTACTTGAATAGACATTGTTACTGCCATAGATCATTTATGCATTTTATTTTTATTTCATAAGGAAAGAGCATGGTAACATGGTAGGAAACATACGAAAACACAAAACAGTTCATGTATTAAAACGCAAAGCATAACCGACAGTCCACGCTCACCACGATGCAGCGACACCACAAAAGGAGAACAATTATTTATTTGGCACCCATTCTCATCATTTTCACGTATTTAAAATATTATGAACCTCACTGGGGTGGTATAATGCTTGATACTCACATTTTGACTCTGCTGTGCTCCGCTAGGCTTGTTGGAGGAGTTCTACGTATCGGGACCTGGCAACCCTGGCTCAGTCGCTGTATGAATGACAGTGTTGTCTGCAGCGTGCCGTCTCTCCGGAAGTGTTGCTCTTGGTTTAGAAAGAGAGATTTGTGCACTGCATGATTTAGCTGGTTTAAACATACGCATTGTATTACATTTCAGGAGCGACTGGGTAGTCAGACTTCATTTCGTCCAAGTTATAAACCCTGCAGTGTTTTTTTGGAACATGAAAACTCGGTATTTCAACAAACAGTTAGCAAATTAGCAACCTAGCTAGCTCTGCACAAGGTAGGTTCAGTGATTTCAAAACAATGATTAATTCCTGAACATATACAGCCTTTTGCGATAGATAATTCCATAAAATATCACCTTTAACGTTATTAAGTTTGTCATTTTGCTTATACAAAAATGGAAAGACGCTTTTTTGCTATACATGGTGTGTTTTTCCTTTGGGAAGGTGTGAGAAATAACATTGTTGTGGTTTCTTCGGGAAACTTTGAGCAGTAAATGATATGTAGACTGGTAAATAGGTGGGAATAAACACTGTACTGTCCCAACTAAATAATGTAGTTGTTTTGCGTTTCATTTTCAGTAAATACAGTTTAGAAGTTAATGTTGCTGTTTCATATATCACATATACGTGCACTATCCATTGTACTTAGAGATAACGAGGAGGTGTCATAACCGAGGGTTTTGGCTGTTGGTGATTGACAGGTCTGGTTGCCATGGAGACTGAAGAGGGTGGACTTTTTAAGGATCCAGACTTTGCTGCTGATGACTCCGCCCTTTTCACAGACTACACCACACCCCTGTCCAGACTTGTAGGCAAGGTCACCTGGCTCCGCCCACAGGTATGATATGGATGCAGTCGAGGGTCAGTAATCTTTGAAATTCAGAAAAGACCAGGGTGGAGGCAGGTTTTCATTCGATCGAAGAGAAGCACACCTGATTCCGCTTCTTTAATCAGCTGGACTTAGTTTGTCTTCAGACAGTTGTATGAGGTGAGCCCCTGCTTGATTGGAGTGAAAGCCTACAGTCACACTGCAGGCACTCCTTTTGCAGATAAGATTGGTGACCCCTGCCATAAGTCCATAAGAATCAAGACACCAGCTCTAATTATGTGAATATTACAACCTTGTCCAGATTTAAAGAGAAGGGACACATAGTATAAAACACTGGGGTGTGAATAAATGTGATATATTTTTGAGAAAGTTGCCAGTTTGTTTCTATTTTCCTTTTCATAATAATATGAGTAATGATTAAAAATAACAAAATTAAAATGCAAATATTGACAAACAACAAGGACATTTTTCATAGCCTGTCTTGCTTATTTTTTGCCAAGGCTGCTAATAATTCAGGAGGGCACTGTGCACAAGTGAGCTCCCAGTTTATTAGGTATATCTACGTTGTATATCTGCTTATTGACAAATTTATCAGTGTGAGAGGATGACCATCACAAACTATGCATGAGCTACTGTCTGTAACTGTACACCTAGAAGCTGCATCGATGCAGATATTGCTATTGGGTATCAGCACTGATACCGACATCTGGTAACACGTGATACCATGTGACTTAAGCCTAGCGTACACAGGTGCGCTAATGAACAAATGACTAAAGCTGGTACTTCACACAGTGAAGTGTTGCTGACGCCGTAGCAGTCGGACGCAAAGTTGCTGGTCACTTTAAACACAATCATTTCTGGAGTTCAAGAAATGATTGATAGATCTAGAGAAAATGGGGCTTCTAACAACCCTGCAAGATCTAGTAGACCACCAAAATTGTCACCATTGGATACACAATACTTAAAACCTTCATCATTTAGAGAGAGGAGAAGCTGTCCATCCTTCCACTGTGAGAAGACAACTCATTGTAATGAATCTGCAAGGATGTGTAGCTGTCAAGAAGCCCTTGCTGAGAAAAGGAAATAGACAAGAGGAAAATTTGCAGATCACACAAAGAAGCTGCTGGTGTTCTCAGAACAATGGAAACCCCAGAGTCCAAACCTCAACATCACTGATTGTGCTTGGAATTACTCAGATCAAGAGAAGCAGGAAATGCAACTAACTTCTAAGACTGATGTTTGGAGGTGTGGAAAAATATCACTCCGGATTTCTTTGAAAAACTACGTCTCCTGAAAAAAATGTACGCAGTATTAAAGACAAAGACAAATACTGAGAAAATATATTTAGTTGTTGAGGCTTCTGTGTATTTTTCTGTTAAATACATGCTTTCTGTCTTTTTCTAACACTGAAAAATTAAATGTTTGTACTTAATGGCAGTTTCGACTGAAAATTTAAAACTCTGACTTATGCACAATACTGTAGGCATATCTAAAAAAGTGGCCAATAATTGTTGGACGCTGTGTTTAAAAACCCATTTATTGCTGCTGTGCCTGATAGACTCATCTTATACCAGTGCAACATGTAATACCATGGCACTATCATGTTGGTATTGCTGCTGTGCTGAGAACGGTCCATCACAAAAATAATATTAGGTCAGTGGTGGTTCCTTTCCATGGACAGATGAGATAGCAGGGCCTGAAAATTTGTAGAGCAGCGTGCACAGTCAGTAATTGTATACCTACAAAATGCACCTACATGGTAGGTGAACCTGATGAACTGGCGACTCAGTGTACAACATTACACACTATAATAGAACCAGAAAACTGGTTTGTACATTATTGGTCATTGATATTGTTGATTGATTAGTGAGAGCATTTTGTAGGATGTGTTGAGAGTATCTGTTATCATTTTCAATGTCTATAACTTTTCAAATAGTTATTATACAGAGTTGTTTCTTGTTATTTAAACAGGATATCTGTAAGCATCCACGACTGTTCCCTGATAACCTTACTGAGGCCTACCCGAAACAAGGCATTCTGGGAGACTGCTGGCTCCTGTGTGCATGTACCATGCTGCTAAAGAGCCGCCATCTGCTAGAACAGGTAACAAACGCTTAACAAACATGATGTTCAACTGGTTAAACTCGGGGAGCCATACTTCTTTAATGGGTGGCAAAAATATAAATGAATTATTATGTTATTATATGTAGTTTCCTGCACTAATATCATAGAAATGTCATTTAAGCAGGTTTCAGTACACACTAAATGTCCAAAAGTATACAGACACCCCTTTTAATTAGTAAATTCAAGTACTTTAAAGTGCACCCGTTGCTGATATAGTTGCTCAATTGTGCATACACAGCTTGTGTAACCTCCCTAGGAAGGCATTACCAATAGAATAGGATTCCCTGGAGCAGCTGCTCATGAGCCTAAAGTCACCGTACACAATGTTGGCTAGCTGGGTATAACGTTCTCTGAAGTGATAAAGCTCCATCCAACACCTTTGGCATGAGTTGGAGTGGAGTTTGTGATCCAGAACTAATCATCAGTACCTGACTTGCCTAATGCCCTGGTGGCTAAATGCAATTAAATCCTCACAGCAGTGTTACAACATCTAGTGTAAAGCCTTCCCAGAAGAGTAGAGACTGTTAGTGCAGCAAAGGGGGGCAAACTCCCAATTAATACTCTTGATTTTAGAAGAAACATTGGATGTGCAGGTGTCTGTAAACATTTGGAAAGAGTTTCATTTCAAAATGCTGTATATGCATAACATACATAAACACAACAGTTTTATACATAATGAGTTTTTGAAAACAATGATGGAACATATACTATTTCTGTAGTAGAAGTGGTAATGAGCATAATATAGCACTGATATTTCTTGACTCCTGTCAATGTATATCTTCAAAGGGAGAGAAGTGGTCTATAGTGTGTATATAGTTGGAACAAAACCCTTCATATCTAGTAGAGCCCGACTGATAAATTGCCATGCTGATATTAGCAGCCTTTTGAAGTATTTATTAGCCAACATAATAACTGCATAAGTAGCCGTCAAATGTAATAAAAATCTATTCTTATTAATAGGTGTAGTGTTTAAGGACAATTACTTTAGCTACCTCGGTTGTGGTATGAATGCTGTAGAATTACTTTGGATGTAGTGTTAAAGCAGGGAAAAACAGGAGTAATGGAAGCAGTTTATCGAATATTTATTGTATTTCACAAAGAAAGAATATACAGTTCTATCAAATTACAGTAGCACTTGCTGTTCACATAAACCAAAACAAACATACTGCATACTGAGTATAGAAAGACATTCGCTTACTCATCATGTTGTATAATACTGAAATGCAGATACCGATCATAGCAGAGGGTGTCCACAGACAGACACAATTCTGTGGTTTTGCTGATCTGATATACTGATAGACATGCTGGAACAGGAAGAATAGAAGATGTGTTGCTATGTTTGTCGAACCGAGAGATTAGAGATAGGTATTCAAACAAATATGAAGTATTAAATGTCAGAACATTTTCTGGAATCTCTGTCTTTCCAAGACTCCTGTCCTGGAGAGTTCTGTGGTTTTGCTAATCTTATCTACTAATACACTGACTAGATATGGGCGGAGTAGGAAAATTAGGAGATGTTTTGATGTGTTTTCCAAATGGAAGATTAGCACTAAATAACCAAATGTAAATACCCATTTTAGATGCAAACAAGAAGTACAAAAAGTCAAACGGCAAAACTTTTAGCTCGTATATAATCAATTTAATTCAGTTTAATTTACAGTATGTTAAAGCAGTAAGTCACCTGAAGTCATGCGTTACAGTGATTTTATGACATGTATAGTGTGTTAGGCATGATGCCACAACGTAAAATATGACAAAATAAATAAATAATTCAAGAAAGAATTTCAGTTATAATTAATAATCACAATTAAAAAAAATCCTCAAAGAAATATAGTTTGTTTAAAGTGTGCTATGGTTACCAAACAATTGTGGACTGCTGAAGGAGGACGAGTATGTTCAGTGACCCATTATCTTATAGTGTAGGGGTGAGAGGGACAAGCATATTTTATTTTTTGCTTATAAATTTTTAAAGTATTTGAGTAAGATTAATCATTTTTTGTTTTTGAACAGTTCAGCCAGAGTACAAATGTTACAGCTAACCCCACAGGGTGGATTCATTGGAAAAGACTGAGGGGGCTAATTGTAACATTGCTAAAAAAAAAAAATGATACATTGATGCAAAACACAGTTCAGTTCAAATCAATTTAGTTTGAACCAAATGAGCCTTCCAACCTTGAGTCTGCACAAGACATATTTATGTGTGTGTGTGTGTGTGTGTGTGTGTGTGTGTGTGTGTATCGCTGTTGTCAGAAGAATGTAAGTCAATGGAACCAGACTTTTTTCAGAGTCATTTTTGGTCATTTCCTTTAGGCCATTCATCATGAAATTTACAAACAATGTAAACGGCAAAAGGTATTTTCAAATTATGTCAAAAACTGTAAAACATCAAAAATGGAGAAAAAAGGTCTTCTTCCAACAACAGCAATATATAATGTGTGTGTGTGTGTGTGTGTGTGTGTGTACTATAAATGTCATGTATTTCATGTATTTCATGACATCCATAGCTTGTTTTTGACGAGTTTTTAAAAAAGTGGCATTTGAATTTAAAAGGAAGGATATCCTCTTGTTTACTTTGTGAAGCCTTGGTGGCTGTATTTTAGCCTTGCTAGCTTTCACTGTGAGTTAGCAAACTTACACATTTTCAGATTATGTTGCTATAGAAATAGGTGACTGAAAACTTGAACTTGTTTAAACTTGGGTTCGTACATCATCTGTCATTACACTTGGTGGCCCATGTGAGCAGCATACTAATCCATTCGCAGTACAAAGGTTTTCAGTGGCTTGGTGCATTAACACAGAATTCAGTTGTTGTGAGGAGGCCATAGTGCTTATATAAATTATTTTACAATGGCTTAGCCAATCAGATTTTATAACCAGAGCTATCCATTTTACAACATACGTTGCAGCAGGGCTGCACAATGTAGACAACTGTTGTGATTATATTTCTACAGATTACATTACACCTTCTAATCCATTAAAAACCTGGAGATACATTTATGTTTTATTGTGGTTAAAGGCTGATCTGCATTATCTTGAGCCAAATAATTTACTTGCGCTGGATTACTGACATAACAGGTGCCGTAGGTGTCATTTCAACTTTAAGGGGGTTGGGGCGGGTGGCACACTGCCCGTACCATACACCCACCATACTCACACTCACACTTTGCCCTTAACTCTCAGGAAACGTCTAATATCAGGCTTCCTCTTCTTCTTAACTGTTTACATGACTGATCCCTGATCTCTGTAACACAGATCAATGTAGCCATTAGAAGGCTAAGAGAGAGAGAAGTGCAATGAAGAGGCTAAAACGGCACTTTGTCTATTTACTTTGAATGTCTTTAGAGTGTGACTCAACCCAGACATTTTAACATTGGTTTGGCAACCAGACACTGAAGCTCAAAACCAGATACCTGGCAACCCTACTTTGACATATGTAGGAGTCACGCCGACACAGAAATTCACATGTAGATGTAGATATATATACACACACATATATATATATATATATATATATATATATATATATATATATGTATATGTATATATGATATTATATGGTGATATTTAAGGTAGGATGAGTTCAGAAAACAGGTGAGGAGTTCATGCAGGTATTGGCAGCCATGAAGTTAATTAGAAAACCATGACAGAATTTCAAGAGAAATATGGTGGAAACCATTCTTTAAAATCTCTGGAGCATTACAAACAACAGATATTGAGGAAAATACCATGACAAAGTACAATGCAAATGAATTGAATTTATTTAAAAACAATAAACTGGGTTTATTTATGAAAAAGAAACTGTAATTTCCCACAGATCATGCTTCAGTTTTGAGATCAGAAAAAAGTTTCCTGAAGAATAAAAAAAATGTAATTAGGCAAAAAATTAAAAGAAAGTCATCACATGGAGTCAAAGGTTAATAAATTTGACTTGATTACATGATTAAATTTACAAATAAATAAATTAAATGATAAATTGAGTGTGATAAGTTGGCAAATTGATGATAATGCATATTTTAAACTCTAGCACTGGTCTTTCTTACAGTAAGAAAAAGAGCCTGATAGACACACCTATTTATTAACTTTCATGTTCCTTTCCTATCTTGACTTTTGAATATGTGTGATTGTTTCAGGTGATGCCCCCAGGGCAGTGTGTATGGGAGGATAGCCGTTACCATGGTAAATTCTGCTTCAGATTCTGGCGTAACGGGCATTGGATGGAGGTTCACGTGGACGATCGGCTACCCTGTGTCAACAACACACCCTGTTTCTCCCGCTGCCACAGCCCCTCTGCATTCTGGATAGCATTGTTGGAGAAAGCATATGCCAAGTGAGTTTTAAGGGGCTCCTCATTAAATAGAACAAAATAGTCCTCCATATTTGGCCTCATGACCTTCATTAGTGTTGTAATGACAATTCTGCAGCTTACTTGACTGCATTCCTCCATGTCATTTATAATTAAACTAAATTTACTTACTCGTGGAAATTAATTGACATGTATTGCTGAAACAAACAATACAGACTTAATTACTTATACTTAAACTTAATTACTTCTGTGTCTGAGCTGCATCATTTTGTAGAGTCTTGATATGGAGGTTACACCCTGATGCAGACTGAGAGGGCAAATTAAAGGGGAATTCCACTGATGACTTAAACACAGTCATTCAGAGTGTTTTGGTATGAAATGCTCTGTCCTAGAAAAACTTTCAGAATCATAATTGTTCATAGTGCTGATGGTAGGAACTAGACGACCGTAGCAATTGTTGCTTCTGAGAGCTTTCTCACAAAAAGCTTAAATGTGAAATAGTTACCTGTTGCCTGATGCCTGAGTCACTGTTTAATGGTAGGTTTGAGAAGGTTTTGACTAGGATGTTGTGAAGCAAATTATTCCTCGAAGAACACTCAGACACATGTCGGTTCACTGGTCATTTTGGATGGTAAATAAAATAGCTATACGCGTTGTAGATGTTGTGACCCCTGGTTGTTATCACTGCCACTGTAAATGCACCAATTTACATCAAGTCACTGCAAATGACTTTGTTTGCGTTTTGTCCATCGAATTGAAACAATTTTTGAAATACTCCTTTAAGAGACCATATGGAACTTGAGTGTTATTTTTTCTAATTATTTATGTGTAAGTGACTCTTACCATTATCAAAAATAAAATCTTTCAGCTATGCATGCACTGTGGCGTAGACTGGAAGAAAGTGCATGGAAATTATCATACTGCTCATTTTTTTGTTTTTCCAAAGGCTGCATGGTTCATATGAGCACCTCTGGGCAGGGCAGGTGTGTGAGGCCATGGTGGATTTAAGTGGGGGCGTGGCTGAGCGCTGGAGCTTGAAAAGGGCTGCTGACACGCCCACTGAGAAGCGCTTGTTTCCCAGGCTTTCAGAGGAGATGAGAAGGCGCAGTTACATCAGCTGTTGTGTACACAGCACCCCTACAGGTAAGAGGTGGAACCGCACCATAGCAGGACTGTGTAGGTCAGGGGCACTCTCAGGACACTATGTAAAGGAGTGAGTTGCCTTGCTATGGCAAATTTTGGGCTCCATAGTTTGTTATTATATAAAATATCAACCAAATATTTGCTGTTCTTTAATGAAAATGTAATTTAACAAAAGGCAGTGTATTAATATTGAATCAGATTCCGTGAGAAGCATATGACACAGGAACTAAACAGCCCTGTTCATGTACTTGAGGAACACACATCTAAACCAGAGTTTTTCCAGAATCTTGGCTCTTGAAACTTCAAGCACTGCACAGTTCAGTGATTAAAGCGCTAGGGACAGATTCAACTCGTCAGCCAATTAACCCTGTCTTACCTAACGTATCATTTATGATTCTTTCAGAGGCTTTGCTGATGTTCCCTTTAACTCATTAAAGGGGAATTTCACTTATTTAAAAATCTGCATAATTAAATAGTAAAGATGTAAACAAAGTCATTCAGAGTAGTTTGATGTGAAATAATCTATTCTAGAGAAATTTACACAGTCAGAATTGTTCACAGTGGTGGTGATAAGAACCAGACGTCTGAAGAGTTTAATGCCTCTAAAAGCTCCCTCAGAGAAAGTTATTACATAAAATGGTTATAAATATGTTGCCTGATGTCTGACACATTGTTTTACAATTGGGAGGAAAGACGGAAAGATACATGCAAGGCGCTGCAAGGCAAAATAGTTCTCAAAGAAAACTTATTGTTTAAGATTTACCACAGTTTTACCATAAGCAACATTACGTATAAAAGCTCAGAAGACATGTGCAGGTTCATTGATTGTTTTGGATAGTAAATAAAATGGCTATATTTGTGTCCTGGGTTCTGTCACCACCACTGTAAAGAAATGAGTATGTTTCTTTACAATGAACCATTTCACATCAAACCACTCATGACTATGTTTACATCTCAGTGACAGAAGGAGGCTGAAAATTTTAAAAATCAGTGGAATTCCTCTTTAAACTTTACTTCCACAGTAGTTGGGAGGCAGGTGTTCAGCATAGTAAAATGCAGAGTAACATTCTTGCCTACAGCTTTCAGAAAAGAATAAGTTAAAGCTGTGGTCTGTTGCTGCTGACCCTTACTTGACACAACTTGGTTACACACACTTTCTATCCTGTTCCTTTTGTAGGCGACTAAAACAAAATCTATAACAGTTTTGCAACAGTGAAGCACAACAATAGGACGATAATTGTGGTGTTCGTGTGCTAGAATTTCCTTCTTTTCGTCCCTCACAGGTCACGCAACACCTGCCACCTGCGTCTTTGTGCTGAAGGAAGCACCCTGAGGAAGCAGTCTCTCACTTCCTCTTGGAAGTTACTGCGTGCTAAAAAGCTGCTCTTATTTAAGCACAAAGCCAACAATTGTTTTTCTGATTAGACCAACAGCCTGCTTGGCGTGAGGGAAAAAAGGGGAATTTCACTTGTACAGTTTTTATCAGTTTGTACCTTTTCAGCTGTGGAAATCACATATTAACCTCAACAGTGGTACACTTAGAGCACGTACATCACATTCTACTGAACAATAAAGCATATAGTGAATGAATCATATCATAGTTTACAATTTACTAATACTGTATGTCAGTAAATTGTATCAGTAGAACTATGTTTAGTACTGTTGTAATGTTAAGGACGCAGGGCATTAAAGTATAAGTATATTGAGTTCTTTTTTAATAATTAGGGATGCACAATGATATTGAAGTCAAATATCAGCAGCAGACAGATATATAGTTTTAACTGATATTTAAAACTGATATTTGATGATGTATTTATTGTACCCCATAACAGCAGAATGTTTAGGTGATGCTGGGTTGCTGTGCTAAAATACCTGCATTTTATTCATTTTGCTGCAGTTTTAACTCTACAAATAGGTGTTACATTGCTCTGTAAAGATAATTCAGCTGTAGTGTCAGTTTCTACATTTTATAAATGTTTATACATCAGCACTTTATGTCATATGGATGCTGTTTCACCTTTGCCATTGTATCGCAGAGTAAAACCAGTAAGAGCTCCCCCTGCTGGATGTTTGCAGACTTAAGCAGTCAGCTTTTTATAGCGTTCTTCACAAGGCAGGACTTTTTGTTTTTTTTTAGGCCGAACATTTCAAATAGTATTTAGTGTTGATAAAAAAGAAGTCGTACAGCATCAAAAACTGTTTTCTTATGGAACTGTTAACACTATTCTTATATATTTCTACAGAAGTATGTGCAAATTCTTTGACCTATCAAGGACTTTAAAGCATTGTCATACACAAACTCTGAATATAAAATATAAAACTTCCATAATAAATCATAATTACATTTTTTGAAAATAAAAGTGCAGAGAATACGGCATACTGAATGTTACTACTCCCTGCGTTTGATGACACAATATATGCATGAAAACACAGGTGGCTGTGAAGTGTCTACCACTCTGCCTGAAAAAAAATCTAGGGAAACATTGTGTGATGTCAATGCCATTATGTATGTGTATTCATGAACTTTAATAATACATTTAGTGAATGGCCTGAAAGTACCCACCATGATACAAGTACCATAGTAATATTAAAAACAGCAAAGTTCAAATATAATTGTGTTTCAGAAAATATTTTGTTTTGATAATCCAATTGAAAATACAGTATTGTAATGCACTGTACTGAGTTACAGTTTACTGGTGGCATTATCTAAAATATTTTAGTGCTGTGAGATACAGTTTGTGCTTTAGCTCTTTGCTAGATTTTGTCCTCTCTCTCTTTCTGCAGGTGCGCCTGAGCTGGGGCAGTTCCACGCTCTTAGTGTAATGGAATGGACAGATGTGAAAACAAGTGATGGAGAAGAAGTGCGGCTGCTGCGAATATGGAACCCCTGGGGGAGGAGGTGCTGGGGAGGAGCCTGGACCGAGAGGTGGGAGCTCATGAATGGGTCATTTCTGACTCTGACTTTCCTATCCTGGTTTGGTCTTAATAAAGTATCTCAGTATATAATTTTAGATATCCAGTTTGATTTTATTGCCATAATGCCAATGACCAGTAAATGAAAAACCTTGTTGCTGGTCATAAGGTGCGTTCAACAAATATGAACAGTAAACAAGACAAAATAATAATAATAATAATAATAATAATAATAACTATGTGCAGAGCAGCTCAAAGTGCTTTACAGACGTGTGACAGAGCTTAACAGACATAGAAAAATTAGAGTTAAGTTTTATTGTTATATAGTTCTAATTTATGAATTTATTTGTTATTTTATTTATTATTAATGTAAAACTTATATGAAGCGATACATTTACGTGCTTGACTGTCTAATAAAAGGTGGAATTGTGTTCCACACTTTAGAATTGAAATAACACAAAGAGGCCTCTCCACGTCTTCTGTATTTTACGAAAAGTATTTGCGGAATGCCAGTATCTGCAGATCTAAGATCACGTGCAGAGACATAAACAGGCAGACATTCTGTGAGGTAAGCAGGTGCTCTAAGGCTTTAAGCTGTTTAAAAACTAGTAATAAAACTTTAAAATCTATGCTAAAAACAACAGGCAGCCAATGCAGTTCTTTCAAAATGGGACCAATATTAAATCTCTCTCTTTTTTTTTGTTAGGATCTGTGCTGCTACATTTTGTACACATTGTAGACGATGTATTGTTTTCTTAGAAAGTCCAGTAAAGAGCTTTACAGCATTCATCTCTGCTTGTAAAAAATGCATGAATAAGATTCTCTGTGTTGCTCTGAGATAGAAAATGCTGAACTTTAGCAATATTTTTAAATGATTTAAATAATTAGTGGCTGTGTTTACATACGAGTTAAAACAGAATCTAAGATCACACAAAGGTTTCATACTTAATGTGTGGTATATAAAGCAAAAGAGCCTAGCTTCTCACAAAGCAGCTTTCTCTGAATTTCATTATCCATTATCTGGTAATTGTTCATATCAGAGTGAGCTCCATAGACCTTGAAATAAAATGTGTGGTACACAATAGCTAACAGCTAAAAGCCTGTGTCTTTCTCTTTTTGCCTCTTTCTGCCTTTTATCTCCCCCCCTCTCTCTAGTGGAGCCGGGTGGAGCTCTTTGGACCCCTCTTGCTCTGTGGATCTGTTGGGCCGAACCCAGGAAGGGGAATTCTGGGTAGATGAGACTGAATTCCAGCAGGAATTTGATGAAGTCACAGTGGGATATTCGATCAGCGAGGATAGCCACCTCCAGAGCATCTACACAGGTACTTAAAATACATCTGGCAGAAAGTGATAGTTTGGCAAAAATGAAATACATGACACAAAAATGGACAACAAATTGACAGAAGTAGAGACAAAAGCCTTCAAGTTGGCTGGTACTACCATTTTAGCTGTGTGACGGAGGGGAACCCTCAGGGCTTTTTAGGTGTAATGTTTTCTGTATACTGAAAAACGTCTGTAGTTTTGAGTTCATTTTTATTCAGTAGAATTTTGCTTGTGTTTAAACTCAGTATTACACAAGTATTACAGTACTACTCTTGTTTTATTATTGAGTACCAGATGGAAACATAAGGGTTAAATTCTTCAAATGGCCACCTAGAAATTGTTCTTCTCCATGGAATCTAGGCAGGTAAACTAACTGCCTTGTTGGTTAAGACACAATTCAGTAGTCTTACCCACAAAGGACCAGTGTGGCATGAGGTTTTCATTCCAATCAAGCAGAAGCTGATTCCACTTGTTTAATCAGTTGGTGTCATTCAGTTATAGGTGTGCTACTGCTTGATTGGCATGGAGACCTGCAGCCACACCAGCTCTTTGCGGATAAGACTGGTTACCTTTGAGTTAGGACTTAAAGAGTTGAAAAGAAGGCCTAACATGTTACGTTAACCATCAGCATAATTACAAATTGACAGAGGAGTCAACCAGTCCCGTTTTGATTTCCAATGGGTGGGGCCAATTTGGTGAGAAAAAACATCAGTCTAAGCCTTCTGGAAGTCCCAAATATGTCACTGACTGTGAATATGAGCAGCAGCTTGCAATCAGTGGGGTTTTAATGTGCTGCAAATTAAGTTTAATTCACGTTCATGTTGCCATTTTTTCCTTGAGCTCCTGCCTGCCAGTATGTCTGTGGACCAGCCTGTCTAGAAAATCATCATTTTGTTCATCTTAAAATCCCACACTGTACCTTTAATTGCTATACAGTTGAAAGTTCTTCTGTCGCTGTGTCTCTCTCACTCTTACAGGGTCCTTTCTAACTTACACACAGCAGATAGGTGGCCGCTGGATCAGAGGTCACTCTGCAGGAGGCTGTCGTAACAACAGTAGTTACAGCAGCAACCCTAAGTTCTGGTTGAAACTTGGAGAAGGAGGGGAGGTGCTGCTCTCGCTGCTGCAGTGCAGGCCACAGAGCGCCCAGCGGAGTTGCACAGAACGGCCACCAGGAGGCAGCAGCACTCCACAGCACCCGCACTACCAGGCCATAGCGCTACATTTATGGAAGGTTAGTGAAAAAGCCTGTGAAAGATTTGGAAACGTCTGGCTTTTCACCATGTTTTTAATGAATACTTTCAATACATTACATACAGTCGTATACAAAAGTTTTAACACCCCAAGACAAATGACATGTTTTGTTGATTTTATAAGTGAAATTAAGTTAAAACATGCTCTACACGACAAACTTACATATGCCATCTGCACTTTTTTGAGCACAATTTTTATTTGTTTATTTATTTTAACAATGTCAAATTGAGCCTAACGTGAAAAAACCTATTGAGCCTAAAATGAAAACAGTTATTTTTTGCTATATAGACCTTTCAATAATGAAAAAGTATACAAGTGGTAAAGTTAGTCAATCTTCGTGTGGGAGAACACAGTTTAAGATTAGTACAGCAAACGCTTGTTGAGCTGATAGTGCTATGTTCTAGCGAAACTAATTACAAACCCAGTTCTGAAAAAGTTGGGACATTATGTGAAACACTAATTAAAATAGAAAGGTATGGTTAAAATGAAAACAGTACAAAAACACAATATTTGAAGTTTTACCTTATTTTTTATTTTTTTTAAATACACTCCTTCCAAATTTTATGCCTGCAGCACAGTCCAAAAAAGTTGGGACAGGACGATGTTCACTTTGTTATATCACCTTTCCTTTTAATAAAGATGCTAATTGACAGTCTTCAGCTGGGCAACGGTACGGGTCCCTCATTGTGGTATTTTGAGCTTGATGAGACAAATGTTTTCAGTGGGAGACAGTTATGGACTGCAGGCATGTCAGTTTGACCAACACACTCTCAGATTATGCAGCTATGCATTTGTAACACGTGCAGAACGTGGCTCAGCATTGTCATGTTTAAACATGGAGGGATGTCCCTGAAAAAGACAATGTCTCCCTCTATATCCAAACATGATTTCGTCTCCTGTTTAAGATGTTTTTGGACAAGTAAGTCTTAAATTGCCCTGTCCCAACTTTTTGGAATCTGTTGCAGTCTTCAATTTACGAATGAGAGTATATTTACAAAAAAAAACAATGAAGTTGATCTGGTGAAACATTGCATATCTTGTCTTTGTCCTGTCTTTACTCAAATACAGGTCAAAGAAGATTTATAAATTTATAAATCACGGATTTCTGTTTTAATTTGCATTTTACCTACTGTCCCAGCTTTTTTTTTTTAATGTTTGTACGTAACTCTAGCATTGCATATTTGAGGTCATTAGTTTTGTTCTGTCATTCTTAAGCCAATAACAATATGTTTATCGCATAAATTCATATCGGAGTAATGATAAAATGCGATTTAACATGCAGCTCTACCAAGTTATCCCTGAACTTTTGACAAGCAGTCTGTCTACTTTCATATTGCACTTGAGTCCTGATATTTTCTTTTTTGTTTCTGATACTGTAATTTTTGGTAGGTGTTTTACCTTTTGGATAAAAGAGAAAGTGGCTGATAAATGAGTGTCTAACATGGCTTTGGCTGTATTTCAGTAACAGTTACACTTGGGTGCTGAGAGTGCACTTGACTAGCTGTCAGCCAGTGTTAGAGTGCACTTAGTCCCATCCAGAGATATCAAAATGCCTACTTTGTATATGACGGTGTTTTTTTTTTGTTTGTTTATTTTTTAGGTGGACAAAAAGCACTTTAACCTGAAGCGGACGCTGAACTCCACACCTTGTGCCTCCTCACACACACACGCATATGAGCGGGAGGTAGTGGTGCACACTCATTTGAGTGCTGGGTTCCATCTGCTGGTGCCAAGCACCTTCCTGCAGGGAGCAGAGGGACAGTTCTTGCTTCGAGTGCACTCAACCTGCGCCACCAGTCTCAGGTACACACATTTACACACAGACATACATACGTATACACAAAGACATATAGACACACTCACACTCAATTCAGACATGCACACACACATTTGCAAGAGCACATTTTGAAATTTTAGACTACCACTCAATCATAGTATAACAAAATTGCTGTAACTTAACACTGTATGCAGTGCAACTTAAATGTATGCAATGAACACTACTGTTCAAAAGGTAGTGTACATGGAATCACTAGTCACATTATTAATTTAAATAATAATTCTCACACTAATAAGGCAAACAGTGTAGATTGAAATACTGTAATTTCTGTATCTGTATTTTCAGATGTTTTATGAGAAGTATTTTCAGAACGAGAAATTATACAACGAAAAACATAGTTTAACTATTTGTTATTTGTTTTCTCAGTTATGCAGTCATCTACAGCTCTGTCGATCAAATTGTAGACTAGTAGCATCATAATAGAATCCTTTTATACCTGTACCTGCAACACAATTGGTTTTATATTATTGTGGCTCCAAATTTTAAGACAGTGATTACAAACCTTGCACGGTTTTGTAGATGTAGTGGTGCATTTGTTTTAGAGACCATTAACTCATAGTCCAAAGTTTAAAGTTACTATTGTCATTGTCACTCTTCTGCTAAACACAAATGTGGCATCAGTTGAAAACCCTCTTTCAGAAAAACCATTTTCACTTGTTTCTATGAGCAACATGCTTTTGTTATCACTGGTGATAACTGTGTCTTTAAGGCTTAAGCTCTGCAAAATGTTTGGAATTTTATTAGACCTTTTAAGATAATCACTCTTCTTCTCTCCTCTTCTCTCTCTCTTTGCAGTGCAATAAAGGTGAGCCTGCAGCAGGAGTCTGTGGGTGGAGAGTGGGAGAAGGTCAGCGTGTGTGGTCGCTGGACGGCCGGCTCTACAGCTGGAGGGGGTCGGAACTTCCCCTCACACGGACAGAACCCTCGTGTACCACTCACTGTAACGTATGACCCTGGGGGCACTAACATTAGGGTCACTCTGCGCCAGCACAGCCCGGAGAATGACCTTCATGCCATTGGCTTCCATATTTATAAGGTCAGGATAAAGTGATGTGACCGCTTTAATGCTGTGTACTATTATTGCTTTTACTATTATTGCTTTTCTAAATAAAATGTGCAGAAGAGAACACTCAGAACATTTTGTAATGTCCGTTGTGCTTCGGACCCCTTCCCCAAGCGTATGAATCTGATGATTGTGAGGGTGTTGAACGAGTGTTCAAAGAGAACTGAGTTCTGATGTGAGTGAATGATCTACTGTTATCATCACATCTTCATTAGTATGATGTTGATTTTGCATTAAAGACCTAAACATTGAGCCGGACCTTCTTTCTGCACCTGTGCATGTGATTTTAATATGTAAAGGCGTGCGGCGTGGTCCAAAAAAACCCTGTTTTTTTTACTGTAGGCTTTACAGGGCAATTCACGGTAGCCCACGGAAGCCATATTTTAGCATGTTTTTTTTTGCTACTTCTTTCATTTTTAACAAAGAAATCTTATGTAGTGCAGCTTTAACATACTAGTGGGAAAAACATAAAATGTGGCCTGTGCAAATGTTATGGCACATTTTAGATTTTTATTTTTTCATAGAAATTGTGTTCTGAAATTTACAGGAAATTGCCACATTTGTTCCCCATGCAGGATGTGTTAACTTCTCACTTAGAAATTCAACAAAATATGTAAATTGACAGGGAGTGTTCTTTTGCATACGACTGTACATAGATGCAGTGACAAGTGTGAGTGGGCAGGTGCATGGACTAGTCAAATAATATCCATTAGTTGGTGCTATGGGCACCTGTCAGCTGGTCAAGGCAGTGCCTGATTTTAATAACAAAGGATGGCTGTGGAAGATGTTTTTGATGACTTTCTGCTAAACACAAAGCTGAACATACTTTAGTCTGCAAATGCCAACATAAACTACGAGCTGTTTAATACAAAAGTAGAAAATATAAGTTTAATAGTATAATAGTATTGATCTCTAGTGTACCAGAGTACTTGCCAGATTATTTACACATGCTTTCTGCTGTTGGTATGTAGGTCCCCGATGGGAAAGTGGACTCCATGGTCATCTCTGCTGCAGTGTGTCCTGTGGTGAGCTGTGTTCCTCACTCTCACTCTCAGGAGGTCAGTGTGCAGTGTAGACTGCCCCCTGCTGTTTACACCATCCTGCCCTCCACATACCAGCCTGACCACAACGCAGAATACACGCTAACCATCGCCCGCAGGATACACAGGTAAACACACACAGAGCTTAGGTTGGGCCCTAACATATGCACTTTGTTACGTAGGTACACTCATTCAGTGTTGTGTGAAAGATATGGGTAAACACAAACTGACACACGCATTACACAGAGGAAGTACAGGGAGATTCACTCGAAAGAGTCCCTGAATATTCTGTAATAACCCTCGCTAGGACGAAGCGATTTGAACGAAACAATTTGCAATGTGCTCCTCAGTATATGGAGCTTCGAACATGCCAGGATGCCCCTGCGTCGGAGTGATGAGGTAGGCGTTGGACTGCCGTCGTGACATTTAACCTCCGTTTGCAACTTCCGGGTGCATACCCCCATGCCCCTTCACTCAGTCACTTGACTTCTCATCAGGATGGCGGTGTACAGTATTGAGCAGCGCGTCATCATGGTGCGAACCTATTGGGTCACCAGTTCATTTAAGCAATGTCAGAGTGAACTTAGGAAGAAATAGGGTGTTCTTGACGTACCCTCAAAGAGTGTTATTCAGACGATGATACAGAAACTGTAAACAACAGTATAATTTATCCCTTCTCATGGCGGAGGCCGTCCGAAAATGACGCAGGACACAATCGATGACGTGCAACATCGTCTGCAGCAATCGCCTAGGAAACCTCTGAGAGGCCTAACACATGGGACTGGGAGGTCTTATTCAACATGTCACCGGATCAGACACCACCAGACTTCTTCCTTTGGGGTATGCTCAAAGGAAAAGTCTATCGGAACAAGCCTCGCACTGAGGAAGATTTGAAGGAAAACATCCAACATGAAATTGCTGGTATTCCCCCCTATATGCTTACCGTTCAGGAACATGGAGTGCCGCCTCAAAATGTGTCTGGCAGAAAACGGAGGTCACTCCCAGCATCACATGTAGTGCAATCAATTACACTTACATCAAGGTATGTAGTGTATTTTTTGGGTTCAGATTGCTTCATCCTAACGGCAGTTACAACAGAATATTCGGGGCCTCTTTCAGGTGAATCTCTCTGTACAAGGAGCATAGTTGGTCATTAGATACACAGGTGAACACTCAGGACACAGGTTACTCTTGTAGACACACCTATACACTCAACATCACAGTTTACAGCTCTGTAAATTGTTTCATATATCTTGTCTCTTATTCATGATTGAATATGTTTTTAACAATTTAGCTACAGATATTACACACTATACTAAATTTAAAACAGATATAGACATTTATAAAGATAAAATTGCAGTTAGCTCTTGATTTCAAAACATTATTTTTCACATTTTTACTCTTACTGTACAGCTTTAGTGCAAAGATTGTGTGGCTGCTAAATAATCAGAGGTCATTCGGCATAACACTGTAGGAGTGAGACTTCACACCTGCTGCTATGATAGCGAACACAGCTGAGAGGCTGAAAGGCAGTTAGCCTACTGGGATCAACTGCACTACAAGATGAGAAACAGATACACAGAAAACAGAAACAGAACACATACGCATCCAGCACACACAAGATGTAATATTTTTAGTTTTCTTGGAGATTTTTTCCTTTAAACTGCAGCGTACTTGCTTGCAGCAGTCTGGTTTTCAAACTGCATCTCCTTGACTAAAGCCAGTAGCATTAACGTGTTTCTTGGGTGATCTGATGTTAAGTGGACAGCACAAGTACTGTGATTGGAGTCCAGTGTGTCTCAGAGGCGCATTGTGATCAGATCACTCAAACCTTCTTCAAACATAGTCTTGGACATCTATACATAACATTTGTAATGTGAAAGCTGAAGCATCGGTTTTAAATCTTTTTTAGTTAAAAGATGTAGATAGTGCCTCTGCAACCCACCTTGCAGGCTTTTTCCATAGCTATGGCTGAGCTGAACAAACAGTGGCACATGTTCTGTGACATTACAGCTTCTAGTTAAGTAGGCACAGTATGGCCATAAATCATGTATTTGGCATATATTTTATTTTAATGACGTTTAATAACATCTACCATTTTTTAAACCAGTACTACTTTTTTAAAGATGAACTCCAGTGTCAAATGTCATCTCTTAGGTGTAACAACATTCTTTTAGATTAAGTATTGATTTGAAAACCTGTTTAAGGGTTTCAGTACTTAAATTCATGTTGTTATTAGTAAATATGATCACAGTCGCACAATGCAATGCTGCTTATAAAAAGACATTTACAAGGTTTCTGCAATACACAGTGCCATGTAATGACATACAGTTGGGAGATCTTCAGGATTTTTAAACTGCACCTGATTCACAATATAAACAAAACTAGGGAGTACATGAAATGACTGGAATATCCCATATTTTATTTATACATTCTGTTACATCCATGCTATCCCTTTAGCAGTTGTAATTTCGCCCTAACAGCTAAGATATAGCAAAAGTAGATTTAATTAACGGAAAAATGAAACCTAATTAAACTTTATTAAAAAAACTTCTGAGTTTTTTCTGCAGCCCCCTTAATACTCCCCTGCAGCCCTCAGGGTGAGAACCACTGCGCTCAAATGTTCCCCACCGACGTGTCCCCGAAAGCAACAAAGGACTGCCAAATCAACTGCGTCATCACAGCAAAGATGAAAGCAGCTGCCATGCTTATTTCATCTTTTCTCTTGTTTTTGATTACAAGTCACAAAATCTGATCATAGTGGTCACTGGAGATGCTTTTGAGAAACATGGAAATGCCAGATTTTAAATGGCTCTATGTCTCATTGTCCACTTCTGGTTAGATCACTCAAGACGGATGTTAATACCAGGTATAAACAGGCCCTGAGTGTAAGGTGTGATATGGGTAAAATGGTTTATGTTGATACTGAAATTGCACGATAGAACTGATTCAGTATTTTTAATAGCTTTAATAATAAAGAGGTTCTTTGTGTAATGCCTGTGCTAAATATGCCCCTGTTTTTGTTTGTTGCTGTTGTATGTGCAGGAAAGTAATAAGCAGCCAGGAGCGTTTGGGCCAGGTGGTTGAGGAGGTGAGTTTTGCTTCAGACATACTTTTATCAATAAGAATGGACACACATATGGACAAACTTAGGCCTTCAAAATGGCCACTGGTACTGTTTATAGCTGTGACATCCTTTTGTTTCATAGAAAACAGTAAAAACTGTCCTACAGTGAAACCACATAAGCAAGTCTATTCGAGATTACTTAAAAACTCAATACTAGGCGAGAGTGTGATGATTTAGATATGCAGTTTGCTCAGTGCTAACTTGGGCAGTATATGCTTCTTTTGCTTCTTCTACATTAGCCTCATAGCTCCAGTGCAAAACTGAAGAAAACTTCAGACACCAAACATGCCTTGGCTGACTCACTACATTTGAGTGTACATTTAATTTCCTCAGACATTCTCTTAAAATACTTGTGAATCAGTCTCGCAGAATGCATAAGAAATTTGAAGTTGCATTTAATGTGTGTCATAGTCTTTAGTCTAGCAGTTTGGCAGACTGAACATCAGCTTTAGTACAATTTAATTTAAGTAAAAACATAAAGAAAACTTTTCCATTACACTTGTTTGATCATCAAGTTCTCGCCAGTTTTTTCCTTTATTTATGTATACACACTTCAACTCAAACATTTGGACACAACAGATGTATGTGTTTCTGTTTGTGTAAATCTATGTCATATTTAATATTGGAAATAAAATCATTATGTGTTTCTCATTAAAAGTAAATAGTGGAATATCTGATCCTGTTAATGTATTTCAGCCACTCAGTTGTGTAGTGACAACAGAGAGCGGTGTCTAAATAGCTCTGTTTGGTTGAAAGGCCAATATTTCCTTCTAGAGTAATTCAAAATTTACAATAATAACGAAGACAGGTAGCATCTATGCAGTAACATAAACAATGAGGCATTAGCGTTCACATATGCACATTTATAAATGAATCATTCTACTGAATTGGTTCAAAGAGAGTTGAAAACACATTTTGGACTCTGTAACTTAATTATGTTTATTTTATTAAAATAAATGATTGAACATTCCATTTTGTCACTAGCAATAAAATAATAACGCCTCTGAAACTTTACTAAATGTTTTGGTAGTGACAATTTTAGCTAATTTGATCATAACTAAAAAACAGCCAGCCAGTATGCGACTCACAAACACATAAAATCATAATAGGTTTATTAAAATAATTTTGGTATTGACAATTCTTAATGGCACGCTCTGATTTTCAGACTTTGGGACACATTTACTGCAAAACAATGGGATTTAACCCCTCCCAATGTGGCCATGAGGGACAGAGATGCAGTCTCACTTCCTGCTCTAAAATGCAGCATTTTTTGAATAAAGATTTTTTTTATTTAAAAATTAACCAGATGATAAATGTACATCTTTCAACTTTAGAGGAAATATTTTAAAGAACAACGAGGAAAAAAAATATATTTTTTATTTTTATTTACGGGTTTGGAACAGACACCTCCCAATAGATAGTACACTATAAATTATGATTTTGTATATATTTATGTATTTATATCAAGTAATGTCTTGGGTTTAAATAGATCATAACGGAATCATTGTAAATATCTTAGGTCTGAATGCTGAATTGCTTTCTTAAAATATTTTTTTTTTGCTGTAGGATCGCAGTTTGAACTAATTCAGTAGAATGGTTCATATATACAACACAGAAAATAAGAAACATTGTTTCTCCAATGAGGGCAGACACATAAGTCACTTCTCAGTACCTGTAAGCCTGTTAGAGTGCTGGTAGATAGCGAAACAACTCACTTCCTTTGAAGTTTTGGCCCTTCCCTTTAAGTTTTGTTATGCTGTGACTACCTTACGATGTCTTGAGAATGACACTAAAGAAAGGTTTTTAGCTGGTCACAGGTCAGACCTGCCCATAGTATCCTCTATTATGCTTGAATATTCGGCCTTAGGTTTTTTTTTTTTTAGTGCTGTCTTGCTCTCTGGGGGTTGAGTGTAATGGGTGGTTACAGCCAGCAGGTGACAGTGTGTGTCCACTGTTGGCTGAAATGAGCTTGTGTGATCCGACCTAAATTTGTCTGAAGGAGTCTCAGTAAGAGATTACTGCAAATAGTGGCTGCTTTTTAGTGCTACAGTAACACCACCATCATTAACACATACATTATGGGCGTTTGTTGTTGGTAAACACAGGAGAAACATGTGAACAAGCAAAAACAGTCATCGGTCAAGACCTGAATAAGCTGAATCTAGTGTGTTGTTGGTTGCAGCAACAGTAGCACAGTGGCACTAGATGGAACACAACAGACTGTCAATTTTGTGGAGTTTCATGCTTGTTAGTTTTAAACTCTGCAAGTATTGTAGTAATACTTTTATTTCATTGTTAAGTTTTGGTTGGATACTAAAGGGTTAAATTCTTGAAATACTCAATGGAAAATTGTTCAGTCAAGATTTTTTTTCCCTGTGGTATCTACATAGATACAGCCAAGCTCCCCTACTGATTATGCCTTCAGAAGCTGAACTGAAAACCATTAACTACCAACATAATTAGTACCCGACAGTGGAATAAACCAATCATGTTTAAACGTACAATGGGTGGGACCAATTTTGTGAGAAAAAACGTCACTCCAGCATTGTCTTAGAGGTATTTTTTACCCTTGTTTTTGACTAAGTATTTATAGCCCAAACTGAAAGCTTTATTTTATACACCAATTTGTTTCAACCACACACTTGTGCATCATTTTGTAGACAGTGTCATGATCATATGTGGAACTCTGGATATAATCAGGTTTTCTCTGTGGGAAAAATGAATGGTGTTTTCCTGTAGTAAATAAAAAATTCACAGTTACGATATGTTTTATTTACGATATGTTGAATTATAAAGTCATTAAGGAGCTGAAATACAAATTATGCTACATCCATGCTACTAGCAAGCTAACAATCCAGCACACAGAAAAAATGTTGCAAGAAGATAAGTGTACTACTATACTTTAACACTCTTATATAACACTCAGACTGTACCCTATTACTGCCAAAGCAACTTAACTGCCACATTTAATATCCCACATACATGAGGTGTTTTGCTGAGGTTGCTAATCATATGTTGTCAGTTCAGCATACAGCATTGTTAGTATGTATGTAGTAATATTCATATTTTGACTCTTTTTTTTTTTTTTAACAATTCAGAGGATCCAGTGATATCTGGGGGGAAATGTACAAACGGGAAAACAAACATTTATTTTATAAAAACGGCGTTCATTTTTCCCATAGACAAAAAATAGCGTAGACCCACATTTTCTAATATGGGCATGACCTGTATTATTCCACTGCCAGTGGTTATGAAGTAACAACAGTGGTTTACTTTAAGCAGATGGAACTTTTTTGATGGAAGAAATCGCCAGTATTAAAAACATATTTTCCAAAGAATGTTTGCTTTAATCTTTTGTTTGTGCCCTGCAAAACTGTTGTATAAAAGCAACATAATACTCAAAGTTTTGTGTTATCATGAATAATATTGTGGCTTTACATGTTGTTCTTCTTCTTGTGTTCTGTTGTTTAAATATATATCAAATTAATTCACTTGCTCTCTCTCTCTCTCTCTCGTTAGATCTCCCATGTTTCTGTGATGGGGCTGTAGCATGAGGGGGGATGTCTCTCCCCATCCAAGGCTGACGTGGGTCTTTTTGGCCCTGGCTGGAGATGAAAGCGAACCATCTTTCTCCAAAAGCTGGAGGGGTGGAGGGCTTGGCTAGTGCGTTAGCGTAGCCTTTAGCACATCACAGTCTCGTCCAGTGGCCTGACTCTAATGGAAGCCGACGGCGTCCGGCCCCGCTGCCTGACGGGAGCTATTGAAGCTGCCGCCCCAGCCACGGCCTGTCCCACCAGAGCGAACAAAGACATCACTCAGAGAGAGAGAGGGGCCGGCCTAGTGGTCGACCCATACGGACCCGTTGTGCCAGCCAAGCCATGGCACAGCTAAGCCAACTTTCAGAGAGAGAGAGAGGGTAGGGGGTGGGTTCTGCTCCATGGCGGCTGAACAGAGGCGCTTGGTTCCCTCTGAAGTGACCGACAGTGGCTGTATTTTGGCTCGGCCCTCGGAAGCTGCTGGTCGGCCCGTTGGAGCGCGTGCTCCAGTGCGTGGCTCGAGCAGCCGTTAGCGCGCTCAGCGCTGAGCTAGTGACGAAGCCGGCGCGCTGCCGATGCACAAAGAGCCATTGTGAGAGCAAAGTACTTGCGGCTGTGACCTCCTGTTTGCTCTGTGTGTGGGGAGCCATGTATTTGGCTCTTTTTGGGGACCAGATGATCCTAGGATGATGTTAAACATGACAGTTTTGACATTGAGGGACATTTGGCTGGTCCTCACCAGGAAAAACACTTTTTTTGCAAAAGATTAGGGTTGGCTTAGGTGTTGACATGGCAGCATTTAGCAATAGTCATACAGAAGTCGATTAACATACCCAAAAAGACCGGACGACAGACTTGTGTGTTTATATGTGCAACTCTTGTGTGCCTTCAAATGAGTAAATCAGTGGACTGAAAAAAAGTTCTGTGGGCTGAAATTATTTCACGCTTTGACACTGTAATTTGAGTCCCATTTACTTTTCAAACACTACAGTGGAAACAAGCAGCCTCACCCACATCTATGCACTTCTGCTGGGGTCCAACTGAGCAGGCTTCTGCACCAAACCTTCAGTAGAGATTTAAACCTTTCAGCTAAACTAAAATAGGGCAGAGCCTAGGTCTGGATAGTGCAGAACAAATGAGGCCTGTTAGACTAGTCAAAGATTTGAGTTTTGAAGGTTTTTAAAACCCTCTACACTAGTGTAAAACATTATTATTTAAACCTGTACAAATGTTGGAGGCAATTGTACAGTGATTGACATACTGTATATAAAAAGACACACAACAAATCCTTGTCAGGTTTGATGGTTTACTAAAGCTATAGAGAGAAGTTTGTCTGTATCATCTTGCCAAGGCAGGCTTCAGTCTTTGGTAACAGCTGACCTGAAATAGCCTAAGTATGGATATCACACGACAAATGAAGCTTATTTGAATACCCATTTTAATGATTTACATTTACATTTAATCACTTAGCAGGTGCTCTGACCAAGAGCAACTTACAAAACATACAAGCAATGGAAGCCTAAGAGAACAAAGTATCTGGATGAACCTAATTTATAACCTAAGCGACTTAATACGTAAATACAAGTGTAGACATCAAAGAGTATTAATTAAATTCATTTTTTTGAACAAGTGAAAAATAAAACACAGGTAAAGTGCAGAGAATTGACAGTAGAGAAATGACAGTGATTCAGATATGAAGTCCAAATAGGATGTTAATGTATTGCCTGAAGAGGTGAGTCTTCAGACCACACTGGGAGGAACTGCAATGTGGAGTTCAGGAAGAAGTTGACGAGCGAGACAGAGCTTTAAAGACTTTTCATTTTAAGGAAGGACGTATCAAGAGTCCAGAGGTTAAAGACCCAAAGTGGTGTTCTGGTGTGCAGTTGTAAACTAAGGTGCTGAGAACTGTAAGCCTGTATTGTGAGAAACAGAGCTTTGTATCTGATTGTTTCTTCCACAGAAAGTGGAGTGATTCATTTTCATAAAATGTAATTTTCATACTTTTATTCACAACTAAATTTGAATTTTCTGTTTTTGAATGTAAAAAAAAATTATACTTAATATGATTCTATTGAATTAAAGCCAGTTCAAATCAATTCTAGAATCATTCACATACTGTCCTCTGGATTATTATGAAACCGTATATAAATTATATACTTTGGACTTTTGTTATCAAATTAAACAATCAGTGAAAATCTAGAAGTGGAAAAACTAGCCATACCTAAGTGGAAACATAAGTGCTTTGTCAGAATCTTACTAATTAAAGTGGATGTATAGAGGAAGAAATTAATAGCTGAAGGTTAGAAAAAATACATAATAGACATACTCAAGTACATAAAAGAAAATGTACACTTTTAAAAGGTTTTCTTTGTTGTGTGGTGCAGCGACTAACTGCTAATATTGCTACCACAAAGACAAATTAGCATAGTTATGGGCAGTTTTATTTTAAACTGATGCAACGATCAAATAAAATACATGTAAACACAGCTGAATCAAAGGAGTTCCGTTACTAGTTTTTCAGGCTCTAAATGACCTCAAAGCACCTGTTTACCTCACAGAATGTCTATTTATGTTTCAGCACAAGATCTTAGATCTGCAGGTACTGGCTTTCTGCAAACACACACACACATCTTTTAAGCTGCTTCTCCTTCTGGATCGCGGGGGTTGGCTGGAGCCTATCCCAGCAGTCATTGGGTGGAAGGCAGGATACACCTTGGACAGGTCACCAGTCCATCGTAGGGCAGACCTTCTGCAAACACCTTCCTTAAAATACAGAAAACGTTTAGAGGCCTTTTTCAGTTATTCTGCTTCTAAATTGTGAAAGTCAGTTCCACCTTTTATAAGAGAGTCAAGCTCAGTGCTCACTTTTAAGGCACATCTGAAAATGTGTCTCTTTGTCCTATTGTTTAATTAAAATTCTACCTCTCTTTGGTATTTATTTTTATTTTTTTTATTTGATCTGTGTCATTTTCTTCTATGATTTTAAATTAATACTCATAATTTGTTATATTAATAATCTTTATCACCTGTCTGTAAAGCACTTTGAGCTGCCACCAGCATGAAGTGATATATAAACAATTATAATACTATAAGATATTATCCATAGAGATAATATCAAAAATAATTTACATTTTCTCAAAATATTGACTTCTTTTAAAAGAATGATTTCTCACAATAATGACTTATTATACCACAGTAATTGCTTGTTTTGTTCAAATTTAATAACACTATTTTTGACATAGTATCTTACAATCTCAAGAAAATAATTGTTTTGAGACACTAAGTCAATATTTCAAGAAAATAAGTAACTATATTTAGATATTAAGTCGATACTTAAAGAAGATAATTATTTTGAGAAATGCATTCAATACTTCAGGTAAGAAAATGACTCATTATTTGAAGATGATATATCAATATTTCAAGAAAGTAAATCAGTTCTTTTATTTTTTGTCATTTTTTACACACTGCACTGTTAAAATGTCGCTGTTTAAAAAGTGAGTTAAAGGCTTAAATGTTTAAGTTTCCTGAACTTCAAAATAGTAAGTAAACAGAACAGAAGGCGCTCATTCTTGTTCTGTTAACAGACTATTAGAAGCTCCATTAACTGAACATTTTAAAGCAGCCCTGTTTTTTTGTTTTTTTTCTTTCTTTTAAACAGCTTTGTTTTTTACAGTGTGCTGGCAGCAGAGAAGGAGAGAAAGCTGTTGGGAACGCGTTTCCACAGAGGAGCAGTTGGTTCCTAACGTCGATATAAACAAGGTCCTCATAACGTCTCTGATAAAAATTTCCACTGCAAGCGTTGCTGTGCGCGCGCCTGCGGGACGCGATGCTCGTGCCCGCCGCGAGGTTGCGCGCGTGCGCCGCTCTTCCTGCGAATTCGACGGGACCGAGAGCGGAGAGAGTCCAACCCGGAGGAGAATGAACAACAAATTTGACGCGTGAGTAAAACTAAAGCGCCCACAACACCCACAGGCGTCGTTCAGTAGAGAGTCCCCGCGCTGTCGGTGCACAGTCCGCTGTGCGGGACCTCACTGAGCGCGCTGCTGAGAGAGGTGTGTCTGCACACACGCACACACACACACACATGCGTGTGCTGAGAGCTCTGCTGAGCGCATGACCACACACACTCACATGTGTGTTTCCAGCTGAAGTAGACGCGGATTAAGAGCACACTGAACTCTGTGTGCTCCTCTGTCTGAGCGGTGTCGGCGTGCAGTGTAAACAAACCCAGCAGCTATGTGGCCTCGCAGGCCGGAGCCTCATCCCCGGGTTATGAGTGCGTGTACAGCGGGGGCAGGTGCTCCGGGACGCGGCGTCAGCCAGCTTTCCTCACCGTTCTCAGCTTTCCGTATGGCTCTGTCCTTCAGCCTCACAGACGGGGCTTCCTCTTCTCATATTTCTCCTGGGTGGACACGTCTCGGATAAATTTACAGTTTCAGAAACTTATCAGCACAGCGCGAGCTGCCCTAGCTAGTTTTCTGCAGTGTAAAAGGTGAATATGTAGATAGAGCATAAATTAGCAACGCCCAGGTTACAGTAGCTGTTAGAGTTACACTGCGTGTACAACCCTGCAGAACAATGTGAGGTCTTCTGCCTGACCACCGCCTTAGTTTATGTACTGCTGGACTGAATTATGTTCATAAACACACCACTGTTCACATGTTTGTAATCACTTGTCATCACTCGACATAACTTGTACAGTGTTGGCTTAAATATGATAATCTAGACACCAAAGAGTAAATCGTTTATTCAGTATTTTAGGTGTTTGGGGAGCGCCAAAATTATAAATAATACACTGTAATTATATATTAACTGTTCATATTATCTGTTCACAATCTGTTTATTTTTATTCAAGTTATCTATCTTGAGATTTGAACACCACTTTTGAAATATGAGGCATTCTGGGTGTTATTTTTATTATAGGTTAATTTCTGATGCTGTCCACCTTCCTCAGTCATTTTAGAACCGTCCACGTCCCCGTTCAGCGTTCTGGACACATCTAAAAATGTGTCAGTTTAGACAGCTGTTTCATACATGCATGTGCAACTAGATTGGTTTTACAATCATTGAAATTGAAAACAGTAACTTAAAATATGTAGACATGTTAACTTATTTTCACTAAGAAGTTACAGAAAATATGTAGCTCGACCGGGGTTGTTAAAACTTTTGTATACAATGATACTTTGCATGTGTGTGCAAAGTATCACACACAAATTAGACCTAAAAAGCTATTTCTCTGGGCAATAAGCATTTATTTGCTCAGAAAAACGCTGATATTACAATAAAGACAATAATATTACTACAGTAAGTAGTGATTTTACTTGTGTAAATGGGTTTGTTTAACCGTTTCCACGCATCTCCTTGAGGAAGTCTAATATTATTTGTAGTTATCACCCAGTACCTAGTTTGTCTGATCAGTGCTTTGTAAATTAAAACAAGTGTGCTGGTGCTGAATTTAACAAATTTATGTGATAGATGAGGCATCCATGAGATCAAAGTCTGATCTGGAATCAGGTTCTTCTAACCAGCTCAGAAAATGTCAAGTACTTTTTTAAAACCAAGATATTTTTGTTACATTTTACTGTTTTTATCTTTGTCTATTTGTATTTATTCTAATTATATGTTTTACAAGCACAAACATATTCAATGCTGAGCTGAGATACAAGGTTTTAAATAATGTGTTTAAGTGCGTAAGACTTGCACAGTACTGCATATACTAGGTTGAACGTCAGAATTGTACATCAAATTGACCTGAAAATTCAACACTTTATTTAAGCAGAAAGAAGCAGCCAAGTTCCAAAATCACTGGCTTAATTGCTGGTATGGTAGCCTCAGAACTGCAAAACTGTTACTTGTATGAAGGGAAACAGTCTTATATTGCATCAGCAAAAAGTAATGGGGGCAAGGAAACTCACCAGTAAGGATAAACAGGACACTTATAACAGGTTTGACTGGACAGTAAATGCCACAAAACTAAACACACAAAACTGTACAGTGTGAGCCGCAGGGCTGCCATTCAGAGATCACTGGTAACCAAAGCCAACAGATGAAGAGGTTTAACCTGTGAGGAGCACAAAATCTGGACTCATGAGTAATGGAGAGAAGTAGTGTGGCACAATGAGTCATCTTTCACCTTTTTCGTAGATCCAGGCATGTTTATGTTTGGAAACAACTTTTCTTCATCTCACACTATTGCCAACTGCTAAAAGTAGTAGGGGCTTTATAGAGTTATGGACAACCATCTCAAAAGAGTTATTAGGTCCAGTAATTGCTATGCATCACCATCCAGAGGCTAAGAAGTATAAAGCCACTTCATAGGGTTAAGTGCATCTGGTGATGCAAAAACTGGTCCCTCATCATGATTTCATATTTTATATATGTCCATTTTATGTATGTCTGTGCTGCTAAACACGTTCATGAAAACTAGGATGAGGTCATGATCTCCCCAGTCACCAGTTCCAAACATCACTGGGCCTTCATGAGGCCTTCAGCACATAGAGTTCCTCCTCCTTCTTTTCTAAAAGAAATAAAGGCTTTTCATCTTTAAGAATGGTCAAATATTCCACTGTATATATTTGTGGTCCCTTGCATAAAACATTTTTAATGGAAATTTTAATGGAAAAAGTGGGAAGTGAAAAAAACTAGACCCTAATTTTATTTTATTTTTTTTTTGGGACAATTGCAAAATTTAAATATGAATTTATGGCTTTATATTCATCACTTAAGCAGTTAAATTAAGATTAAGCATTCCAAGAAGGAGAAGAGCTTTTTCTGATGGTAGTGCATAGCTCTCATATACACACACATTTTCTAAGCCGCTTGCTGCTGGAGTCTATCCCAGCAGTCATTGAACGGACGGCAGGAAACACGCTGGACAGGTCACCAGTCCATCACAGGGCGACCCATTCCCCCCTTTTTTATTGGTCAATACATAATATGAAGTAGGCGGAAGAGTCTGTTATTGTTTCTAAGTTCTGCGTGTGAAGTGAGTTTTTATGGTGTATGTTCTGTCGTGTGGGAGATGCTTTTGCTACTGCTACAGAGATTTTTCTTCTGTCTGAAATACAGTCTGAAAGATGACGATAGCGGAGATCATGACCAGGACAACGGCTCACCGAAAGACAGTGAGAAGGAAAAAACTGAGGATGAGGAGAAGGACCAAAACACTACCAAGAGGAAGGTAAGTGTATATGTCTGTTACTTTAGTCATTAACTTTGTAAATCGATGCAGAGAGGTTCAGGGAAGTTTATGTTCAGAAAAGCAATACAATTCTCAAAATATCAGTTGTCATTTGTGTTAAAGTGTCCATATCCTGGAAAAACAAATTCCCCATGCTTTTTTGAAATGAAGGAGTGCGAGGTAATATGTAGACTTTGTCAAAGTTTTTAATCGCACCATTCACTAACCAGTCCAGCCTGTTTTTCAGTTCATTGTTTCTGTGATGTCATGAGAATCAGCTCATTTGCCTCTATCAGCCTACAGAGGTTTAGCCCCACCTGTTCATGTTGGAGTTCAAAGCTTCAGTCTGGACTGCCTTTTGAATGAAGCACAGTACAATACAGCCAATCAGAACAGAGCTCATTTGTCTTATATCAGTCTTAATGGCACAGTAACAAAAAAACGCCTTGAGAGGTTGGAAAATGGTCACGTAAAAATTACCGATATGACCATTTCTGGTACACAGAACCACACAAATGTTATTAGTAAACCTCGAGAAAAAATACCACCTGACACCTGAGTTCATGAAAGACTTGGTAATAATACAGTAATTGGCCTCAATCCTGTTAGATCAGAGTAAACAAAAATATGGGTCAGTGTATCCGTTTTGACCACTGCTTTGTAAATATGAACAATTCTGAGAATATTTTGTCATAACATGCAGTAATATATACACTTACACATGCTCTGCAGCTTTCTCTGTCATTTTGGAATGATTTACAGCTCCATCACACATCTAAACACATCTAAAAAGTTCTTTACAGTTTCCTACAACTTGATTCAAAACTAAAAATTTGCACTAATAACTTAGCATAACTTAAGGACTAATAACCTATTACAGTGTTTTTATGTCCATTACTGTGCTGTTCTTTTAGGGCAGCAAGTGTTTATTTCCTCAGAAAAAAACATTAATAATAGAACAATACATTAACTAAAATTAATACAGTAAGTAGTGATTTTAGGTATGCCAGTGCGTTTGCTTAATCATTTCTGGACCTCTACTTGAGGATGTCCTTATTGATTGTATCATCATCTAGTACCTGGTTTGTCAAGCCTTCATTAAGTTAAATCAAAATTTAGCTAATCAGTATGATAATGCAAATTAGTATGATAATGTATTTTTGTCCTTTTTGCTACTCCATTCCTCATGAAATATTAAGTGCTCTAATGATAATGGAAAAAAATGAAATAAATGTGTGTGTGTGTGTGTGTGTGTGTGTGTGTGTGTGTGTGTGTTTCAGGCTGTGGTTCCTGGTGCTGGGGAACACCCTCTGCAGTATAACTACACATTCTGGTACTCTAGGCGAACCCCAGGCAGACCAGCCAGCACACAGAGCTATGAACAGAACATCAAACAGATTGGCAGCTTTGCTTCGGTTAGTCTCTCTCTCTCTCTCTCTCTCTCTCTCACTATTTGCCTTGAATTTTGATTGTCTTTATTAAGCCTAATGCTATGCTGTTGCCATATAACAGCGTATAACAATTAGCATGTCCTTACTTTCATAGTTATAGACATACATATGTCCAAAACTATTCAGACACTTCTTCTAATTCTAATGAATTCAACTACTTTAAGGGGCACCTATTACGGACTCACATGTTCAATTACACACACTTTAATAAGTTTTTGAAATGAGTGGCATTTGTGATCCAGAACTAATCATCAAACATCAGTACCTGACCTCACTAATGCTTTTGTCGCTAGTTAAATCCTCACATCATTTTTCCAACATCTAGCATACAAACTCCCTTGATTTCAGAAGAAAGTCCAATAGGCAGGTGTCTACAAACCTTTGGACGTAAAAATCAGTTGCAAAGTTTAAGGTTGATTTATGGCTGGTTGAAGTTAAAATCAGACAATAAATCCTGTAGTATGCACTTAGCTTAACACTAATTCTGTGACACAGGTGGAGCAGTTCTGGCGTTTTTACAGTCACATGATCAGACCAGGCGATCTGACTGGCCACAGTGACTTCCACCTGTTTAAAGAAGGAATCAAACCCATGTGGGAGGTGCGTACTTCATAATATACATATATTAATAACATGAAGTACTTGAATCCGTCACCGGTTTCTTTGTCTGTGCACATTGCAGTTTATGCTAAATGAAGATTGTTCCTCATTCATTCCCCACTTGATATTTTGCACTGGAATAGTAATCTTACACGTTATTCTATTATGTATAAACATATCTATATCATATACATGTACTGTAAGAAATGCAACTAGTTTTTATAGTTTTCTTATTTTAATGCATTTTGCATTCTGAAAAAGTGTTTATTATAATTACAGCTGGTGACAGACACCAATACCATATACTTGGTGAAAATTATTTGTGATATTTGCTAATATTAGCACAAGGAAGAAGGTAAAAGTCTTAACAAAATGTTTAAGGAAAGGATCACTGACACTGAAAGAGAAGAAACAGTTATTTTATTTCTTTGCTCTCTCTTTAGGACGATGCTAATAAGAGTGGGGGGAAGTGGATAATACGGCTGCGTAAGGGTCTGGCCTCGCGCTGCTGGGAGAATTTGATTTTGGCTATGTTAGGGGAGCAGTTTATGGTGGGCGAGGAGATTTGTGGAGCCGTCGTCTCTGTACGCTTCCAGGTACCACAACACAACCCCATCACTTAATGATGTCTCTGTTTAGCTTCCCTCCACCAGTCAAGGAATCTCGCTGCAGTCCCTGGAGACCCACTGCTCAGTGGTTTTCTATATTTTGTGAACTTTACTAACCGTTAAATGCCTATGAAGACCTGTGACCAAATGATTTAATTTTGGCATGCTGGATGCTTTATCTAGTTGAATGGAATCATTTACAATAGTGTAGCCTTACATCTATATACCTTTTTTGTTTATATGCAGATTTTTAGTAGCACTACTTGCAGAGTATAAAAACGAACATGTTTCTATTTAATAAAAATGAACAAAAAAAGCATGATGTAGAATAGTTATTATATTTTTTTAATTTCCAGAAATCATCCAGCCTTTTCTGAAAAAGGCCCGCAGGGATATCTTCTGTAAAATGCAGAGTTTAGTGTTATTTGTTATCAGCTAGAAGCCCTTAATGAGTTAAGCTGGGTTTGTCAGAGATGACCAACCCAGCCTAACTGTGCAGATATTCTGATTAAGTTCTGAATGTGTGTTTAGGAGGACATCATATCTATCTGGAACAAAACAGCAAGTGACCAGGCCACTACTGCTCGCATCAGAGACACATTGCGCCGAGTTCTCAATCTGCCCCCAAACACCATCATGGAGTACAAAACACACACTGACAGCATCAAGTGAGTTACTAGACACACACACACACTTGCATGCAGTCTCAACCTGCCCCCAAACAATCAAGCGTGGAATACAAAACACACATACTAGCTTAATCAAGCAAGGTACACTTCCCATATATTACTGGGCAGCTTTTGTTTTTCTAAAGTAGTTTCTGTGTGTGTGTGTTTTCAGGGCCTGGGAGGATTTCCATGGTCTCGTGAATGCTAGTGGTGGCCGCTAGCTCTTCATAATGTGCAAAAAATGCAAAGGGGTAGGATCAGTATAGCACCCCAATAATACACTTTAGTTCTACAATCGCAAAAAAAAGTCAGCTCCATAATTATTGGTGCATAAGAAATTATGTGAAAAAATGTATGTGGTTCATTTTTTCTTTTAAGAAAACCATATGCCACAATTATTGGCACCCTTGTATTTGGTACTTGGTGCCACCTTCTCTGAAGAGGAATCTTCTCATTAGTTTGTCCTGCTGGAAGATCTAACTACAGCCCAATTTTTTTTTTCCCAATATTCAGTCATATCCAATTCCATCCACTAGTTAGGACTTCCCCAGTCACACATTACCATTAGCACTAGGAGGGTGAAAGCTAGCACAGGCTTTCTCCAGACCTGTGAAGCCAGCAACTGCATCTTTTCGAACTGTCGTTAACGCAACATAATTAGACAGCTGAACCTGCTTGGAGGAAAGCACCAACTGCCACTTCTGTTACGTCAGCTAGCAGACGCCTGTGCTGATTAGCATTGCACTGAACGGCGGGGGGGGAGGGGCCATCCTACCCACCCAAAGAGAGCAAGGCCAGTTGTGCTCTCTTGGACTCCCGTCCACAAATGACTGTAGCCTCACCAGGGATCGAACTCACGATCTCCAGATGATAGGGCTAATGCTTAGACAGTTGTCACTTCGGAGTGAGTTTTGCTTGATAGAGCCCATGATGCCATGTATCCTAACAAGGTTCCAGGGCAACTGGGGGGAAAACAGCCTCAAAACATCACAGATTCTCCACCATACTAAACATTAGAGTTTACCTCCTTTCCTGTATAACCAGACTTATTTTCACGCCAAGCCTACCTTAAGTGTTTTGTGCATCTGAGTGTACGTTTGTCTCATCTGACTGTAGTTGTGGTTAGATGAATGAATCTGGCATGCCTTCTGAGTAGTTTTCTGGCATGCAGGTGGTGTATACATTTTGGATACTTAGTAACCTAAAATGCTACCATCTTCTGCAAATCTCCAGCCAAGATCTGGATTTACTGACTGATTTATTTAAGGTCAACAAACTTGTTTCATGTGTGTTCGGTAATCTTCCCCATGCTAATGAAGGGAATTGGGCTTCTATGTCACCACATATTTAAACCCCAGTGACAAAAAGTGAAATATAAATGGGAACACACTTTCAGTTAAATTTTGTTTATAAGAATTGTGAGGGATGCCAGTAATTGTGACAAATGATTTGTTGATTTATTAAGGGTTTTTGTTTCTCTTTGACCTATATTACTTCAATTAAAGTTGAGAGTTGAAAGAGAAATTCTTTCATATTTTAAGAGAGACTGAGGTAATTAACCACAAAGACATTTTCTTGATCTTTACCAAGGGTGCCAGTAGTCATGGAGCTGACTGTACCCAGGTCTAAACAGTTTCAAGATCTGCTTGTTATTTTTCTTGTCTTTTCTGTTTTTATTGTTTTAGTCATTAGACAATTCATTAGTAATATGAAGTGTACTCCTTCTTGATTGTAGTGAAAACCTACAGCCACACTAGTCTTTTGCGGATAAGAATGTTTGCCTCTTGTCTAAATAATCTATAGACAGTTCACAAGCTCCATGTTATTATATTAAATTTTTGCACTTAATACTTGTCAGAGGTGGGTAGTAACTAGTTACATTTACTCAAGTATGTGTACTTAAGTAAAATATTGATGGTTTTGTACTTTTCTGAGTATATAAATCATAATACTTTTACTTCTACTCAGGTATGTTAGTAAACAAAATAATCAACTTTTTACTATGTTTATGTTTTAGCCATTCATATTTAGTTACTAATTCTTTTTTGTTTGCGTTTTTTCATTGTGTTTTGTTGGTAACAACATCTGTACTGCTTTGTGATTGGTCACATCTCTCACTTTGGAGCTTTAGCATTTTATTTTGGACCAAGAGAGAAATAGAGCCTAACAATCTTCAGTTCCTATGCTGATAGGATTTACTAAGACTTTCCTCTGCAGTTCTAAAAGTTACTCACTACTTAAGTAGTTTTTTGACCTGATACTTTTGCACTGCTACTCATTTTTTTTGGGAAGGTACTTTTGGTTGACTCATCACTTTACCCAAGTATCAATACTTTTAACTGAGGATTGATTTAGGCTACTCTACCCACCCCTGATACTTGTTAAGACAGTGTTGATGATGTTGGCTATAATTAAAATTGCACTTTTTTTAAATTGTGATTACACTTACAGAAAAGTTACATGAATTTCACATGTGAATAAAACACCTTCACATGTTAACTGTGTTATCACAAGTGAAAAAAATCACATGAAATTGTGTTAGAATGTAAAAATATGTGATCACGTGAAAACTTGTTCACGTGAAAAAACGTGTGATCAGTTGTAAACATGATTTTTGCACATGTGAAATGTGTGACTTTTCTGTTTGGGAAATCTTTCAGTGTTACATTCTTTTGTTTTTTAATGTCTCTATTTAATCTAACATTTGTTGTTCCCTTCTAGGTTTAGTTTACTTTTGTGTGGATGAAGAGGACATTTCTAGGGGATAAACTTATTTATCAAATATCACCATTTTAAAAACAAAACAAAAAATGGACACTTGTGGAGTCTGTTTTAAATTACCCGAGGAGCTGAAAATCTCTTAGAATGAGGGTCACACAGCCAGTGGTTACGCAGCGGGTGTTCCAGATGACTGCAAGCTCTTTCTCCAGCCAGCAGGGGGAGCCTGCAGAAATGGGCTGCAAAGACTGCAGCTACCGTGGCTCGGACGAAGGCTGGTCGACGTGGTGTATCGTTGTACAGAAGTCACATTTACCTGAATTAGCTTGTTATTCATAGAATCTTCAGCAACACATAACCCCCCTTAGAAAGAGAGTACTTTTATTTTACATTGTAACAAACAGGGTTACATTTTACTATAGTGCAGTATTTTAACTACAGTGTTAAGAAAGAAATGTCGTTGAATTGAGAACTTGTACAAAACAAAAAAATATATTTCTAAGGTCATTTGAAGAGGATGGGATGTGCTCTTGATCTTTTTCTGTTTTGAGCTGAGGATGTTGAAGCCTAAGAGACGTTGCTGCCTATCGCACTGTGCCTGGCCAGGAAAGGCCTCTGCTGGACTTTCTGTGACTCCACCATGCAAGGAGAGTCTGGTGACATCAAACTGTCGTCAGGATCTGTGGCTGTGCTCCGCCGTTGTATCCCCGACCCAAGGGTCAGCTGAACCAGCCTGTGTCTCCTTCACCACTGAGTAGAGCTAAAGAATGGTGGGGCGGGGTGGGGGTTGGCTCTTGTTTGTCTACATCTCTTACATACTGCCTGGAATTCAGTGATGGTGCTGAAAGTACTGGTGTTTGAGGTAATATTTTGATTACGATTGACTGATGATAGCAATAAATGTTGAATATGCAGCTGCTGCTAACTGGACTGTGGAGTGATGTACTTTTGTCAGAACAGCACTGCTGTGTCTGATCCACTCGTACCAGCACAACACACATTAACATGTCACCATCACGTCAGTGTTACTGCAGTGCTGAGAATGATCCACCACCCAAGAACAGAGTGAGAGGGGGGCAACAAAGTATACAGAGAAGCAGATGGACTACCGTCTGTAACTGTAGATTTACAAAGTGCACCTGTACGATGAGTGGAGCTGATAAAATAGACAGAGTGCAGCTACAAGGAGGTGTATATGCACCTCTGTATTCTTATAAAACTCTGCTTGGGCCATATTCTGATTATCAACCACCATGGGAGAGTGGTCATCTTTTGCTTTTGGGTCAAACATCATCTTCTCTGTTTTCTTATTATTTAAAATTACACTGTGTAACAGATCTCTACATCTCCAAATGACCTCAGATTCCTCATTGTCAGAAGGCCCAAAATGGCAGTAATACTACTTACACAGTCAAATCTAGATCTTCTGTTTGACATGTGATAACGAACTTGATAGCCCTTGTTTCATTTCAAATCTAGTATGCTAAAGTACAGAGGCCTAGCAGCAAAAAACGTGTCACTAGACAAACACTGAGATTACACTGTATTTTTAGAGGGCAAACATTTACAAATGTGTGTTCAGGGTTTGTGGGGGAAAAATACTGAATTTTGCATTAGTTGAGAGCTCTAGCTATGTATTTAGAAGGTTTCTCAGGTCAAAGCTATTTTAAGGCACAAATTAGTGGTTGCTCAGTAACGGTGAGACTTGTCTGCAGATTTTCACAATCCGAAGTTTGGGTTTCTTCTTTAAGGGCTCTTGTTATCTTTAGTTCAGCTCATTTCGAAAAACATATGATTCTGCAAATAAAAAGCACAGTGCGATTTACTGTTCACTCAGTATGCTGACAGCAGTTTTATGTTCATTAGGCAGATTTAAAACTGATGCAGAGGATAAACTCACCAGGAGAAATGTAGCAGCAAGCAGCAGCACTTTGGTACTCACACACAGATTCTGGGGCACTGAAAAGGACAGAATCACAATCAGTAGCTGACTTTAGGCAGAAACCCTCTAATCCAGCAGTTATAGGGGCATCCTTGTTTATTATAAAGTTCAAGAGATAAAGTGTCGTAGAAACTGTGAATACTGCAGATTATGGATCTTGTTGGTAACCGTTTTAATTAGTTTTTCACGGATAGTGCTTGTAATGGGAATTGCACCAATTTTTCAAACATTCTGCAAAATTCAATGGTTAAGATGTAAACAACGTCATTCAGAGTGGTTTGGTGTGAAATGCTTAGTTCTAGAGAAACCGACAGAGTCTGATTTGTTCAAGTGGTAGTGATAGAAACCAGACGTTAATAATGAGTTAATGTCTCTAAAAGCTTTTTTTTTTTTTTACATAAAATGGTTATGAATACACATTTTACAATTTGTTTGTGGTGAAGTATGTGCAGGATGTTGTAAGACAAAATAATTTTTTCCCCAGATTTACCGCTATTTAACCTTACATATAAATATTTAGAAGACATGTAGGTTCAGTGGTGATTTTGAATAGTAAATAAAATGGCTATATTTGTGTTGTAGACATTGCAACCCCTGGTTCCTATCAGCACCACTGCTGTAAAGACATCAGTAAGTTTCTCTACAATAAATTACTGAATTGTGTAGAAAAAAAATGCTGGAATTCCCATTTATGTCTCCATTTCTGGCATGTGGATGTTGGTTGAACTTACCATCCAAGCCGAAATGCTCATGATCCATGTTACAGCCCTCATTGTACCCTGGCCACTTTTTCCATACAGTTCCAATGCGCTCACCAATCATGGAGACAACCTCAGGATGAAAAATCAGAACAAATTATTAAACAGCTTCAAAGGCTTCATGCCTGAATCTGCTACTTGAAATGGACATTTCACCTTACAATGAATGTTTAATACGTTATTTGTCATGTTACATATTTTAGCACAGCACGTTGCATCCCTCAGTCTCATCAGTTTGGTAGAATTAATGATTTTGTAACCTTTTAGCCCCTCCTCCTCCCCACTGTGATAAAAAAATCTTGTGTTAGCATAGCCACAAACACAGAGGCTAATATACGGGCACGGTAATTCTTCCTAGCAGTAACGTTGGCTGTCTGCAGCTTCCTTCTGCCAGATAGTGGGGTAAAACATTTAGAAGAGCCCTCAAGTATCTGCTATTGTAATTCTTCAAAAAAATCCACCCACTTTCAAGATACATCATCAGAGGAGAGTTCATAGTCTTTAAACCATAAATCTCTAAAAAAAGAAAAAAAAACTGTAGGGGATGAGGATACATGTTAACAACAGCTTTAGTGATAGTCACATTCTTTCTTTCAGCTGGAGTTTCCCTTTAAGAGGAAGAGTCTCCTGATAGGCTCACAGATCAGAGAGACAATCTGATTTCTTCAGAAAAAAATTAAATTTAGATAAAGACATAAGAAATCTTTATATAAAACAGTGTAGGTGTGTCCACCTTTGAACATACAATGAGGGAAACAAGTATTCAGGCGCTTTTGTTTTTTGTTATTTAATGTACTTCCATACTAGAGCATATTTCCACTCAAATTTCATGTCACACATAATGTCTTTTGACTTTGCATAAATATGAACAAGTACATATGTACAAGCATAAACAAAGATGTTTTTTAAAAAACTAAATTGCTACAGAAAAAGTATTCAGACATCACAAATTAATAATAATAGCACAAACCACTTGTTGGTGATTACAGCTTTGAGACGTCTACAGTAAGAAGTAATTAGCATTTTGCAGCATAGTGGTTTAGTTTTGGTCTATTCTTCTTGGCAAAGTGTCTTCAATTCCCCAATCTTCCGAGGGTCCCTCTGATGAACTCACAATTTCCAACTCCCTCATAAATTATTAATGAGATTCAAGTCAGGAGATTGGCCAGGCCATGCAAGCACCTTCGCCTTGTTTTATTAGAAACCAGTCCTGAGTCATTTTGGTTGTATGTTTGGGGTCCCTTTCTTGTTGAAACATCTTCTCCCCAGATTCAGTTTCTTGGCTAGTGAGATTAAATTCTCCTATAAAATGTTCCAGTACATCGTTCATGTTTCCTTCCTTGATGTCTAATGGTCCAGTACATTTGTAGAGAAGCTGCCCAATATCATGATGCTCCCACCACCATACTTCACTGTGGGTCAAGTGTTCTTGGTGTCATATGCGCAACCCTTCTTCCTCCAAACACGATGAGCCCAATTATTTCCAATTATTTCCAAGGACATATGGAACAGCAGTACAGATGGAGGAGCAAGATTGTGCTCACCGTCGGGGTTCTGACCTGAAACTCTTGGCTCAAGAGGTGAATGATGGTGATACTCACACATGAGCATGGCTTGGAGAAATCTCACCTGAAACTCCTGGTCGGCGAGGCAGCGTACTGAGCAGCAGGAGCCTTGTATCCTTACTGTGGAGGACCCTGCAGAGTCACACACTTCGAAGTATGGTGTTAACATACTCCACCTGATAGACAGGGGGAGCCATGTACCACATACAAATGTAAAGAAGATAAAACATTTTTACTGTGCTGTTCGAAAGAAGTTTGTACTAAACTGGAGTCTAAGTAGACGTTATAAGAATACTTAACATAAAATATCCTAGATAATCTTAAGATTCTGAACTGTATTGAATGACTTCCTGATTGGCCATCATACTAAGAGATAGGTTATCAAAAAAATAAATCCATAATAAATAGTAAAAAATCAAATGTACACAGTTCTGCAGAAGCCCTGAAGGGTATAATGATGCGTTCCTGACTCTAAGTTGCACTTCTTCAGTTTTTTTTTCAGCTACTGAGATGTGTCAGACGGATAACACGAAAAAAGTAATTGGCTAATACTTAGCATTTTACACCAGCTATAACCAGGAGGAGGCAGCTTTTTTTTCTCCCTTACAACTTCGGGAACCAAGGGCGTTTTCAAAAGGTTATGCACTGTTTTGCTATGGTTTCTGGGTTGAAAGACGTTTTATCGAAACAGTGAGCAACAGGCTTTGAGTTACGTTTTCTCTCGTTTGATTGGTGTGTCTGAGGTGTTACCCAATCAGCAGTGATGTGTATGTAAACCCCACAGTATTAAAAAGGCAGTGCACACAATGAATTCTAAGTCCTCTACAAATGTGGCCGCTGCAGCTTGGTGTACGCAACGACTGACGATGTATTAAACTGTTTAAATAAGTATTAAACACTTATTTAAGCCCATTTCATCAGGCTCTGAAAATTCTTCAGAAAGAACGCCAAGAACGGCCTTCTCAGCTGCCATTCAACACAGCACTGTTTTTGTTTAAATAAACATTTTGCTGTGTTTTGTCAGGGCTGAAAGCAGTTCAGTGAAAAAAAAAAACAGTACTGGAGAGCTACGTGGCTAATAGTTAGCATGCTAAGGCTAAATATATATATTTTTTCACCTGGTCCCTGAAGTGTCAGGGGAAAAAACAGCCCATGTTGGTTATAGCAGGTGTAAACAATTTTTTTTTCATATATTACATTCAAGTCTGGCATAACATGAGGAAATTTTTTTTTTTTTTGAGGTCTGTGATGGCTGCAATTGCACAAGTGATGCTAGAAATGTTTTGTCAGCAACTTTTAATATGTTATACAGACAGAAAAAAGTGGAACTGCTAAGACTAAGACTAAGAAATGCACTTTAATTTTTTTCTTTTCTTCTTATCCTTCAGGACCTCTCTTACTTCATCATATAATTACATACACATTACATATGTAGTCTATCAGCCAAGATTTGTTTGGCGACTGACATTCTTTAGTTTTGCACTGGTGCTATGAGGCTAATGCAGCTAGAAAACTGCCTAAATCATCACACACCTGCCTCAAAGCCCTGTGAGTTGTTGAATAATCTCAAATAGACTTGTTTATATAATTTCTGACACTGTATGAAATACTGGTATGTACAAAAATGGACAAACGCACAGACAAAATTCAGGCTTCAAGATGGCTGCTACTGTTGTTTTTAGCTAGGCCAAGACAAAAAGCCTTTATCCATATTTGATACAATGGTATGAGGCTAATTAGCATTACCCAGATGCTATCTCTGTTTCCACATGTTCTCTGCTTTCATTTATTGCTATTAGCTTTGTGTCCTTTCTATCAAATGCTAAGTTTAACAACCTGTGTTTTCTGTATAGCTTTTCTTTAGTTTCTGGATCAGGGGGGTAGCTAGCTTTTAGAATGGGGTGGGCAAGGAAGCTCCAGAGATTTCATTGGGGTGGCACAATGTTAGGAAAAAAAGCTAAATAAAATAGCGTTGCTTTATTAAAATGACATAAAAAGTGATGTTTTCACTCTACATATTACTATGTTACTAAATCTGTCCATCATTTCCACATGAATAAAATAGTATCAATACAATTATTGTTGAAAGTAAACTAAAAGACAAAACTGTGTTGATGTAACAGATTTTTTTTCATTCATGAGGAAATGTTGTGTTTGAATCAAAAAAATTAATCACTTTTTTCAGCACAGAACATTCCTATAGAAAGACCCTAGAAGATAATAATTTAGGCTTCTATCACTGCAGGTTATAATGATGAGAAAGCTATCCAGACAGCACTGTATAAGGTAACCTACAATTACGTGCTATAATGTAGCATACAGAGCAGCACTGCTGAAGGGACCCAGTGCACGTTCACTCAACTGTTTGCTAAGCGTGTTAGCCTATGACAGCTAACTATTAAATGCACTGTCATCATACTCTTTTCACCATAAACATAAATGATACTTTATTGATGATGGCTGACTGTCTCACTTTCCATAACTGGGTAGCCAGAATGGTGGCCATACTTAATTCTAGAGTGGCACTGGCCACTCTGGCCACCTCTTGGTTATCCCTCTGTGCTGGATATGGCTTTGTCTTCATTATGGTGGTTAGGCAGCATTGAAAACTTTAGAAATACATTACACTGTACATGTATAAATGGTTTTGTTCTCAATTAGCCACCCCTGAGATGAAGACAACATTTAAATGCTGTGTTTTGTAAGCTACTCCACTCCTGATGTCCTGAATTGGAGGTCATGTTGGTGTTTTCATTCTGGAGTTAAAAGGATCACTGCGTGTTTAATTGCATCTCTGAGTTAGCCAGAGAGAGAGAAAGGGAAAGAAAGAGAGTGAGAGCTATATGCTGACACAAAAATCAGATTCACAAAGATGGCCTTATCTGACCCTGCAGAACGGCTGGCACTGGAAGAAAGAGGTGAAACGAGGGAGAGAGAGACAAAATGGGCTGGCAGATGAAAGAGCAGAAGGAGGAGAGCATGAAGAAAAGAGTTTTGTCTGAGTTGGCACTCTTACTGACGCAATGGGAGCTGTTTAAAATGGCTAGAGATCGAGCGTGATGTAACATGGGGTGAGCAGAAAATCCTCCGTAACAGCTTTGTTATGTCCTGATGGTGTAACCAGGATTTTATTATGAGGGGGCATGGGATAGTTACACTGACCAGCCACTTAATTAAGGACACCTCCTTGTTTCTACACTCTTTGTCCATTTTATCAGCTCCACTTACAGGAGCACTTTGTAGTTCTACAATTACAGACTGTAGTCCATCTGTTTCTCTGCATACTTTGTTAGCCCCCTTTTACCCGTTCTTCAGTGGTCAGGACCCCCATGGACCCTCACAGAGCAGGTACTATTTGGGTGGTGGATCATTCTCAGCACTGCAGTGACACTGACGTGGTGGTGGCGTGTCAGTGTATGTGTTGTGCTGGTCTGAGTGGATCAGACACAGCAGTGCTGCTGGAGTTTTTAAACACCTCAGTGTCACTGCTGGACTGAGAATAGTCCACCAACCAAAAATATTCAGCCCACAGCGTCCTGTGGGCAGCGTCCTGTGACCACTGATGAAGGACTAGAGGATGACTAACACAGACTGTGCAACAACAGATGAGCTACTGTCTCTGATTTTACATCTGCAAAGTGAACCAACAAGGTAGGAGTGTCTAATAGAGTGGGCAGTGAGTGGACACAGTGTTTAAAAACTCCAGCAGCACTAGTGTGACTGATGAAGACTGTGGTTATTTTGTCACGGTCCAACAACTCTGCTAATTCCTGTAATTTTAAAACTTTATTTACTGGTGATTACCATGGTAAAGCATTCGTCCAGCTAGAGTTCCCAGATAATCTTATACAGAATCAACAGCTGAACAACTACACTAGGTGGAAGGGTAGATTACCTACATAGCAATCTTACATTTTGAAACATTTTTATCGGCAACAATGTGGCATATGCAGTTAATCCATTTGGGTTTTTTCCCTATATTTTCTTTTGAACAATCATCAATCTGCTCCACCCAGTCCAATCAACAATCATAAATCTGCCCCACAGGTGTTCCTGTCCATCCTTCCACTGTGAGATGACAAGAAGTCATCTGAAAGGGTGTGTTGTTGTTTAAGAAGACGTTACTGAGAAAAGGAAATAGACAAAAAAGAAAAAACTTGCAAATCAAGTTCTCAGAAGTGTTCTCAGAAAAATCACCACCCACCTCATAATTATTGAAAAACTGTTTGGGAAATTTTGGATTATGAGAAGCAGAAAAAGCAACAACTTCTAAGACAGAACTTTGGAGGTGTAAAACATTTCTGCAGATTTCTTTGAAAAACTGGAAAAAAACTTGTCTTTGATGGTCTTTGACTGGAAATTAAATAAATGAAGAATGGTCTCTGAATTTTGCACAGTACTGTATGTAACCTGAATTAAGTGAGTGCCGCTTAAGTTAGGGTGACCAGATGTCCCAGTTTTCCAGGGACAATCCCTGTTTTTGGTGGCCTGTCCCTGGCTGGAGCTGTCCCTGGAGATGTCTCTGTTTTTAACTGTGAATTAAATACACGCTAGAAAGTCCTATGAAAGAGCTGGCAGCACAGCAGATGTGCGGACATCTCATGTTGTGCTTATTTTGGCCAACAGAGGGGGCTGGCTGACTAACCATTTTTACCACTTGCTCTCCTAGTTAGAAAAGTGCTGTGTTAAACTCGACCAGAAGCTAGCAAGTGTCAAGTGAGTCCACAACATCACCACAAATGTCTTTTCAAGACACGGCATAACCCAGGGATTAAAAGGAGGGATGGGGTTACAGGACTTGAATCGTACTACCAGGTGATAGGTAGGTCTTATTTGTGTAGGCATACAGTCTACTTGAATGTAGGCTACCATGCGATCTACAAATAGTGCATCACTTTTTCACCCATCCATATATGACATATGGCATATGCTGACAGCAGCAGTCTTTTTTTCTGTAGCTACTATCTAGTGTCTTTCTCCATAGTTTAATATAGCTTTCCTCATGGTGAATGATTTTCTGACACAGTTTACAAAGTTACTTAGTTAGTACCCAATTTTATAAGTTAGTCTTCACCATAGTTTATTACAGTACAGCAGTTACCAGGGTCGAAATACATGAACTAGAACTGTCCCCCCCTTTTTTACTTCATAGATAAAAACTTTGGATATTTTAATGATATATTGACCGATGAACTGGACATGTTTCAGAAATCTGTCACTTTAGCTTAAGTTAGTTAAGATTTCCATTTTGACTCTGGCATAACCCCAGTCCTGTTGGGCTGGAGTCTTGATTTTCCTGCACACCTGGTTTATCTCTGTCTATTATGGAGTGTCTTAACAGTGGGGAAAACACTGAGTAAACACTGAATAGATATAGTTTAGGGGTACCTCTGGCGGACGCTGCCGATGAGCTCCCTCTGGGCCGTGTACGCTCTCATTTCCATCAGACAACAGCCCAGACAGCATGAGTCTGCCCTCAGGGGCCTTTCAAACTGGAAGACGTGTTGGTGGTCTTGGTCGAAACCCTGGAGAGAGCAGGAGCGAGCAGGCCCACAGCACTGCACACACACACATGAGCTCTCTGAGAGAGAGATAGAATGAAAAAAACTATGAAAGAATATGGAAGAAAGTAGGCCTCTCTTTCTCTTGGCCTTGGCTTTACATCTCTGTGAACCTCCCCTGGGTGAATTTTCTTAGAGCATTCTCACTTCACGATAGGTGGAGGTGGTGGGATGGTGAGGTGATACACAATACTGCACATTGATGTAATCAAAACTCAGAAGACATTTAAAAGTCACCTCACTTCGATCAAAGATAGTGAAAAAAAAATATTTTTATAATAAAATGTTTATTTTATTATAATAATTGTTATCATTCAAATGTTAACCATTTTGACACTACCAAAGCAATACCAAATGTTTCTGTAGTGACAATTTGAGCTCATATTGAGCAGAGCTCAAAAACACTAGCTACTACAGGACTAGCAAACACAGCGTTGAACAGTTACTACACACATAAAATCATAAGATTTTCATCAAAACACAAAAAGTTGTTGTAGAAAATATATGTTTCGGCAGTGACAATTCTCAATGTTGCACACTGATTTACAGACTTTGGGACACAGTTACTTTCACTAAACTAAATCTAAGTGCTCAGCATGTGGCCATGAGGGACAGGGATGCAGTGTCACTTTCTACTCTAAAATACAGGGGTGTGGCCAAAATAAGGCTCCACCTATGGAATAAAACTCATTGTGTTTTGGTAGTGACAAAAAAACTTGAGAGCCTTTTTTTCAAGTAATTAAACTCACAGTAAATCTAAATCAACTTCTCTTAAAAAGGTCAGAAGGATCTTTTAAAAATAACATTAAAAAACTAAAAAAAAAAAAATACAAACAAAAGTAAGTATTATTTTCACAAGTTAAAATTTAGAGATTAGTGTTTGGGACAGACACCTCCCAACAGAAATGACCTTATTAATGGTGATTTTAGATACATTTAGCTTATAACTTTCTCAATTAATGCTTTTAATAGATCATAACAAAATCATTGTAATCACTGTAAATAGTTTTTTTAAACTAATTTGGTATAATGGTCCATACTGGTCTTGAAAATGGATTGGGCTTTTGACGTCCCATCCCGTATTTACCTTCCACAGCCACAAACAGTTGTTCTCTGGTTTCCGTGGTGATGCTGTATGTCCTGCGGGCTATGCACCGGGGACCTGAGACACAAAATTAATAGCAGTGAGAGTTCAGTCAAGAATGTATTGTTCTGTGCAAAACAAACGCATCCATCACGTAAAGTCTTCCTGCATTCCTTCACACTTCACACTTATACACTTATTTCATACTGTTATTGCATTTTTCACATATGGTTTAACATATAAAATAAGTTTAAAACAGACTTAAAGGGGTTTCTTTTTAAGCACTGCTCCCTGCTTTGTCCAAGTAGAAAAACACATAGTTGGATGTTAACATCCTTTCTGAAACAAATGATTGTTATTTGACATACTAAGGTAACAGGGTGATTGCAAGTGTCTGAATCTGTTCAATTCAAAATCAAAGCAATCAAAGCAATTCAGTGACTTGGCAATAATTAATTTGAATTTGATTTCACAAGGAACTAAAGGGGGTGGGGTGTGCATTCATATCTATTACAGTGCCAGACTAATATAAATCTGTAGTTAGCCTTAATTTGGGTGCAGACAATCAGCCCTCCTTTGTCTGCATTGACATTATCATTAGGGATGCATGATGATAACAGAATCACACTGTTTTAACAGATATTTGCTTAAAAAATATATGCTGGCATCAGATGGATGTTGAGATTTGGGCAATATTTAAAACAGTTGCTAATGCAGGTGGATGTAGTTCCACTCTCCTTTGATGGCATCGGCAGACACATATCATGAAACATATTGGCTCAGAATTCCCATATTAGTGCATGCCTAATTATTATCTACCAATGGGAACCATTTCACAGGGCTGGTTATGAGGAATGATTTATACAGGGATTAAACACAACACATCTGCTCTGATTACAGACATGGCCTGCATCTCTCACCTTGGAGCTCAGGTATGGCAGTGATGTGCAGCTGGCGGACTGTTCTCAGAACAGCTAGACCTGCTGGTAATCCCGCAGTGATCCACTGCTCTTCTTTACCCATGCTGTTCATCTCCATTCCCACTGTCCGGATCCCTCCACCATCACTGGACTGGTGGGAAGAGATGTGGCTGTGTCTGTGGTCATGTGGGGCAGTAAGCTCCTGCGGGCCTGTGGAGGGTCTCCACCTCCTGCTGAAGGCTCTGAACAGCATCTCAATGTGCTTCTCTCTCTCCAGGACAAATGGCAGAGGCTGAGCTGTTACAGTGGACATAGTCTGAGAGAGGAACAAGCCCAGGTGTCCCATGTTAGATTGATTGTTTAAACAATGAATAGTTTTGAACACTTCTCTTGATCTGAGTCCTCATTTCATCTGTAAAGACTGCGTTCATTGATAAAAAGCATAAACCAACTAGAGAGCTGTCTATAGAAAAGCAAGCTTTTTGAAAGTTGTGAAAAGAGGGAATCAGATCAGCACTTGCAGAAGCATTGGGCATAGTTAATACAACAAATTGGAATGTGCTGAAAAAGAAAGGAACCACTAGTGTACCAATAACTAGACATCAAACCATTTGGCCAAGAAAAACAACAGCAGTCGATGACAGAAACATGGAGTGTGTTTACATGCACACCAATGATCTGATCATTATTGGATTTCAGGGATTATCTGATTATTCAACTGGTCATGTAAACAGCGTACTCTGATTTCTTAGACTGGATTAAGGCCATTATTAGATATTAGAAATTAAGAGAGCTGGATTTTAGCTCAGTCATGGGATTTTTCAGTGCATGTATACCCTTACTCTGATTTCTGTAGTTTTTCTCAGTCTGCGCAGGTGCAAAAACAGAAACAGAGTGCTGTCCTGAAAATAGCAAGCAGGATATAACACAACACCCTAAAAGCTGAAATTCTGATCAGTTGTCTCATATTAATCTTTTGATCTCAAACCCAAATGTTTCTAGTATAGCAAAAACAAAAGACTTTGGCTAAAATTTAATAGCTTGTGCTTATTGGCCATTTTGACTAGAAAAGAAATAACTTACGTATATGCTTATACTAATATATACCGAATATGTGCTGAAAATGAATATACTAGTTCACAGCACTTAAAATTCATGTCTAAGTAAGTATCACACCAAGAGTCAAAATGGAAAATGACCTTATAAAGCATATAAAAAAGTTGGATCAGTTGCGAGTCTTACCGTGCTCGCTGCTCCTCTCTGGGTCTGGCTGATGTGTAAATCTCAGCTGGTTCAGAGTGATTCAGTCATGAGGGTCTAGGAAGTGTCTCTTGCCCTCCTTCTGTTGAAGGTGGGTTTCTAGGCAATCCCTGAAGACTGCAGTTTTGTGTATGTGTGAGTGAAAGCACACGAATGTGTATGTACTTTGGTACGTGTACTTTAATATCCTTTTCCCCCCTCCAGTCCAGGATCTGCTCTTTGTGGGACACCGCTCAGGCATGTAATTCAGATCCTGCCTCAATGGGAGCACACACGCACTAGGTTTATTTCTTTCATTTTAAAGAAAATGTTCTTTCATTCAATATTTGAAAAAGTAAATAAAATAGTTGTATGAAATAGTTTGAATGCCCTAAATTGTATGTTAATGCATCTTTTGCAGGAAACTCATTTTTCTACTAATTTCACTGAACAATTTCTATTAAGTTTAACATATTGGAAAAAATAAAACATAAAATATAAAATGTGCCATAACTTTTGCACAGTTTATTTTTTCTTTTTTCTAGTATGTTAAAAATAATCAAAATTGTGCATGCAAATGTTCAGACGTGTGTTCTTTGTAGAGGATGTGTTACTTAGGAATTCAACAAAATGTCATTTGACTAGGGGCGCCCAAACCTTTGCATATTAATCACACTTAAATTATGTTTGTTTTAATTAAAGATTTGACCAATACCTCAAATCAATATTTGCTGATGTATTTATTATATATAAAGGTGCAGGATATTTGGGTGAAGCTAGGTTGCTCTCCTAAAATATCTTATAAAATCTTAAAATATGAATAATATTTTATTCATTTTATTAATTTTACTGCATCTTTGTGATCCTAAATAAATAAATGTTTTATTTCTTTGTAATGCTAATCTGTTTTTGGCCCAGATTTACACTTTATGAATATTTATGTATCAGCATTAGTTTCGGCAGATATGTACAAGCAAAATATCAGATACCAGCATCAGCCCTCAATTCCCATATCAGTGCATCCCTACTAATATTACCATTATTGCTGCAATCGTGATTATTAACATTATGACTATTACTATGAAATGATCCTTCTTCTTTTTGTTAGCACTTGGCTTGAGCAAAACCACAGACTCATCTGGAAGAGGTTTATGCTTATTTATTACCAAAGATGAAAACCCCTAAAACAGTTCATTTTATTTATCAAAACAACACCAAAAACACACCTGCAGTTGCATTATATTGGCTATAACTCGGATACAGACATACATTAATAATTGTAATGAGAAAATGGAATTTTGAATTTCTGCATGAGATGTAAACAGAGTGGTTTGACTGAGTTTGACTCAGATCTCTTTACAGGGGTGGTAAAGGGAACTAGAGTCTACAACACAAATATTGCCGTTTTATTTACTATCCAGAATGAACAGTCAACCATGTACCTCTCCACTACAAAAAAGACATCTGGTTCCTATCACCACCACTGTGAACAGTTCTGACTCTAACTTTCTCTAGAATGATCCATTTCATGTCAAACCACTCTGAATGACTTTACAACATGAGATCAAGTTCAAATGAACCATAAAGAAATTATGAGAAATTTGTGGAATTCCTCTTTAATTTATTCCTCATTTGCATAACGTAAAAGAATCTCAAAGAAGCTCCAACAATCTTATAGTACAAAAACAAAAATACAAAATGGCAAGAATGGCTCAAATTCCTCTCAGACCAAGCAAAGCACTATGAGTATTGTAGTCCAGTCACAGTACGGTAATGTGTGATGGCCACTGACAGCACAGGCTGGAGGACTCAGCTTTTTCAGCAGTGATGGAGCTGAACTGACCACTGTTCTCCTACTGAGTGAGGTAAAATCTGGCTTAAATATGCCAGAGTCTGCCATGGTCTGGTCAAAGTCAGCCTGTGACATTTGTGGGGGACACTTCGGGCAGGTATTTTTTGGGATCTCCAGGGAAGGGCAGAGACGGAGCCTGGTTGAAATGGCCCATGAGGAAGATTCCAGTGGTTCCTAGGACAAACAGCATCGCCATGGCGATAAAGCAGAGCCTGTCGATCACTCTGGCAACCAGAAACCACTCCTCATTCTCCTGCAGAGAGCAAAGTCGGGTCATCCACAGCACAAACATCTAAAATTCCTCCACAAATCCTTTAAATGGTTTCCTGATCCACTGGCCAAACATTAGCCCTCCTGAACATTAGAGCTTAATCCAGTAAAATCACATTTTACATCCAGCCACAGAATATAACTGTTTTTTTTTTTCCAAATCATCGTCATGGCAAATACTTCAACCTCAAGCTACAGTGGGGATTTCTTGATTGTTGAATTTTGAAATTTAGCAAGTGGGTGAGAGCAGAAAACCTAACACATGGTAAAATGACCAGTTAGTTAAGTAGTTAAACAGGTTTAAGTGAAACGTACTTCTGGCCATCTTTTCGTATTCCCATGGCAACGTCATCTGTGTGTCATCTGTGCAGTCGGGCTGATATTTTTCCAATTCATTGCAAAGACTGTAGCACAATTAAAGCAACTTTTTCATTTTTCATTAAATAACTTCAGAAATGTTTTTGAATCCTGAGTTTTGTGTACAATGCACAGAATTCACACCTGTATTATTTTAATCACCTCTTGGTGGCTGTAATATAGCACCATTTTGAAGCACATGATCATCTCACAGTGAGAGCTACCCAGGTTAAAATATATCCTTCACATGGTGGAGTTAGTTTTAACACAGCACTACAACTAAGCCTCCCAAAGTAAACAATGAGAGTTCATGTCCATGTCCTCCTATAAACATTTAAAACAGTTTCATTTTTATTTGCAGATTAATCAAAAACTCACTTTGGATGTAATGCAAATAAAATCTATGTGCACTGATATTTGCTGTTTTACTCAAAACCACTCACTTACACAGAATATACAACATTTCTCATTACATATTGGTAGACAAACGCACCACTACTCATCCACTTGGATTTGTGTGCATCTAACACAATCAAAAATCCACCAGAACCTGCCCAATATCTGTTGTAAAAAGCACCAGACACTAATATCACCATAAACTGAAGGTTATCATTCATCTACAAGCACATTTCTGCTGCTCAGATTATTTTGTGTTGGGCCTGTTTTGTTCCTGCATATAAGCTATAAGAAGGTTAATATCAGTTTGGCTCTTCTAAATATATTAGAAGTCTTCAGCTTGCAAACTGAAGTAAATCATTTCTATGTTTTGGTAGTATCTGTATTATTTTTTTTGTTTAATCTATATCAGTGTTAGTTGCATTTGAATGCTATGTGTAAACATCTTGACTGGGGCCTTTAAGACTTAACTATTCTAACAGTTCTAGGTTTTATTTGAATGGTGTGTGTTTACTGTGTCTGTACTCACGCTTTGGAAGTCATTCTGCTGTTTGGTGCTCTCAGCAATGTGTTTGCAGGACGCTACACACTGCCGCACCTCCGGTGAAGCCATGGCAAGACTAGAGCTCAGATCCTGCACAGTGTCTCCCTCTAGGCCGTTCTCTGGAGGTCAAAATGTACCTGAAGCTAAGTCACATGATGTACAAACAACCCAGATCCAGTTAAAGAGGAATTCCACCAATTTGTCTCAGTTTGTGCATAATCAAATGGTTAAAATGTAAACAGGTTCATTCAGAGTGGTTTGGTGTGAAATGTTGTATTCTAGAGAAACCTACAGAGTCAGAACTGTTCACAGTGGTGGTAAGAGGAACCAGGCACCTGAAGAGTTTAATGCTTTTAAAAACTCCATCACAGATATGTCTGAGACATAGTTATAGTTTTATGGTAATTTTGAGATAGGACTTTGGCCTAAAATTATTGTTTTAATTCATTTATGGTGGAGAGGTACATGCAGGGCTCTGTAAAGCAAAATAGTTCTCAAAGATTTTCAGATTTACCACTATTTTACCATCAACATTACATATAAAAACTCAGAAGATGTGTAGGTTCACTGGTGGTTTTGGTTAATAAATAAAATGGCTGTATTTGAGTCGGTAAGTTTCTCTACAATAAACCATTTCACCTCCAACCACTCAATGACTTTGTTTACATCTAAACCACAGAATTATGCAGAAATTCTGAAAGATCAGTGGAACTCCCCTTCAATAAAATGTAAGGGTGAGTAATATGGCACTATGAATTTTAATTAAATTGAAAACTATTTAAGAAAGTACACAAGGAAAAATCAAAGAAAAAAGAATGAATAACATAAGACAATGATGTAATGGGCTGATATCCAGTCCACTACTTGTTATTATGCAGTTTATGCAGTTACTATATATCAGATGTTGTTGTTATTTACAAGCTATCTATAATTAGTCTGTATAATTAGACTTTTTATGGCACACAAAAATACAATAGATGTTCAGTGTTCTACACTCTTTAAAAAGATGGTGCTTCAAGGGTTCTTTAGTAAAGAAAATGGTTCTATATAGAACCATGAACACTCAAAGAACGCTTTGCATGATTAAATGGTTCTTTACATAGAAAGGGTTCTTCAGATTGATACAGATGGTTCTATATAGAACCTTTTTGAAAAGGGTTCAATATAGCACCAAAAAGGATTCTTCTATTTTGTCAAGCTTGTAACAATAGAAGAACCCATTTCAAAAAGTTTCTACATAGAAATGTCTAGTTCATGCACATTCTCCATCAATCTGAAGAACGCTTTCATATGCAAAGAACCATTTAATCATGCAAAGGGTTCTTTGAGTGTTCATGGTTTATATAGAACCATTTTCTTTACTAAAGAACCCTTGTAGCACCATCTTTTTAAAGATTGAAGTACTGATGATACCCATGATATACTCAGTAAAGCATACTGTGATGTAAGATCCCAATGATGATAACATATCATCATATTGCCCACTAATCAAAATCTTTAATCTTTCTGCAGCCGAGTGTGTTAAATTAGGGTTGCTGTGTGTGTGTTTGTGTGTGTGTGTGTGTGTGTGTGTGTGTGTGCGTGTGTGTGTGTGTGTGTGTGTGTGTGTGTGTGACTCACGGATCTTTTCCAGAGCACTTCTCATAAGACCATCTCTCTCCTTCAGCCTGCTGAACATCAACTCAGAGCGCGCCGTCCTCAGCATGTATTCATCCGCCTTCACTATCAGCCCCAGTGAGCTGCGTCTCCTCAAGGGGACGGTAGATCCGTTTACTGTACCATTTACTCCGCCCTGTGGAGTCCAGCGCTGCATCCTCATCCTCAGCAGCCGAGGAAGAATGTTCAACAGCACCTGAGTGTCGCCATAAGGAAGTATTCATGTGAGACACAAAGAGTTACCTGTTAATAGTCTACGCTTAGAGTAATCAATTCCTGGGTTCGGAAGTTGTGCTCTGTCTATGATAGATAAATGTCGCTGCCTAACCACGTCACCAACAGTGCACCTTTCTGAAACAATTGATGGTTCTTTAAGGGTCCTTTAGTAAAGAAAATGTTTTAATATAAAACCATCAACACTCAAAGAACTTTGCATGAATAGATGGTTCTTTGCATCATGAAATGGTTGTTCCAACTGATGGAACTACAGCTTACATTCACAGTGGGTGATGTATCTAGAACCAAAGTGATGACTTTTCTCATGAAATTGGTCTCACCCATTAGAAATCTATAATATATATCTATGAAGATAATATTTTTGGTTAGGTAACCGCAAACCATTTTATTCAGGTTGTTTTGGACACTCTCCTACCAGACATGCGTTTGATCATACAGATGTGCCAATGATAAAACAGATGAATAACAAAACTGTCAGTCAAATTTGGGTGCGCTAATTTTAAGATTGCTAAAACGCTGAAATATTGCTTTAAAAATCAGACACTGCCAGGCGCATCAGCTATGGTGTGTATGTGTGTGTGTGTGTGGTGAATGTTACCTTCCTGACTTTATCAGTCATGGGGTGTGTGTTGGGAGTTCTCAGGGAGACATTTAGCACCACCACACAGTTCATCACTGTGATTGCAGTCACAGACATCACAAACATCAGATACCTGAGCAACACAAGCATAAGAACACATTTCATTTATCAAACATCACACCGTTATTTAAGAAAATGAGAGGACTTTAACCATCAGTCACCAACCCTCTATTTTTGTAAAGCTTTCAGTAGTTATAGAAAATGTTACATAAAACAATTTAAGCTACTTACTTCCCAATCAGCGGGACGGCCTTAGAGGTTTCTGGAACCTTTTTGGCGATGAGGAAGAGGAAGACAGTCTGGGCCAGCAGAATGGTAATGGACATGGTACACTTCTGACCTCCAGCTAATCAGTACACACATACACACACAGATCAGAATCCAATCAGTCAATACAGCTCAAAGAATCAGAATCCAATCAACCTATACATCTCAAAATATCAAAGAAATATCAAAGTCCAATCAAATAATCAATCTAACTAATCAACACACAGATAGATCTCCACCAAAATGTAATAATAATAATAATAATAATAAGAAGAAGAAGAAGAAGAAGAAGAAGAAGAAGAAGAAGAATGAAAACAATCTGAACCTTAAGGAAAGATTCAATGCACTCAAATGTTGCAATATTTCTATTTACACAGTAGTGCAATACAGACAATACAAGCAACTACAAATAAATGTTTATTTATTTGTAATTTTAACATTTGAAAATAACCTGGGAGTTTTATTTTGGATGAAAACTGCCACAGTTTCAACATTTTTAATGATCACATTTCTGTTTTGTCAGAAAAAATTACAAAATTGTTGTGTATTACAGCATATATTTTTATGTATTTTCAGAATATTCAGACTGGAATATATCGACAAAACGTCATGATATATTTCCATTTCATATGGGTCAGTAGGGTGTTTTGGACTTCCATTAGAGTGTAGACTAAACAAAGTCTGCAGAAAAGGTTTCAAATACTCATCTTTTTATGTTTTTCTTCCTTCTAAAGTCTTCATGAATAGATGATGTTGTGAGGGGGCCAGACTTAATAAAGCAGGGACAATGGAAGTTATGCAGGCCAAATTTAACCTCAGGGTCAGTGCTTTAAAGATTATGATTAAGATAAGGCTGTGGACAGTATACGGTTAGGAGTTGCCGCTGTTATTTATGGGACATTTTTCCATTCATTCCAGCTAAGCACAGCTAGAATAAACACAGCACAGTGCTAAAGTTTCCATTCGTTTGAAACTGCTGGGACCAAACAGGTGAGAGAAGCTGGGGAAGGTTCTTTATTTATACAGCTATAAAAGTTTAAAGCTAAATGCCTTAAATAACTGTATTCTGTGATTAGTCTTCATTACTGGATTCCATGTGACTAAGTTGGCCAAATGGACACCAAATTGACAACTGGCTGGTCTCTTATATAGTGATGTTCACTGACCAGTTGCTGTCTCGGAGACGTAAAGCCACAGCTGGTGTGTTGCAGCATGCCTAAGACTTTAACTGGGTTCCAGTTTGTATGGTCTGCCTGAGCACTATTTGGCAGGAGGACTTTTTTAACAATGTGCACTCTGCATTCTGTAGTACATCTCAGTGTCATCAGCTCATTGGCATCACCCTCCCTGATACTGTCTTTCACTTTGAAATTTGTCACAGTCCACACAGAATATGTATTGTGATTTTACACTGACTTAAAGATTATGATCCCTGTAATGCAGTGGACACATCCTGACTTTTATCTCAGAGAGCCTCTCAAACTCATAGATTACATTAATCCATGATATGCCCTTACACTTCTCTGCCACCTGTGGTGTGTAACCCGCCAGTTCATACACTCTGACCTTTAGCCGGCAGGTGGTAGACAAGCAGTCCGAGCGAGGAGAAGAGGACGCAGGGCACGATGATGTTGATGACGTAGAAGAGCGGCTTCCTCTGGATGATAAGGAAGAAGATGATCTCCTGATAGTCCAGCTCGTCTCGGCTGAACCGTTCATTTATCACCTTCTTCGCTGGCCGGTGTTTTATTATCCATTCACCATTCTCTAGCCAATCAAAGCACACAGAAATACGTTTAATACAGTGTCACTGCAGTGTCCACCACCCAAATAATATCTGCTGTGTGGGGGTCCTGTAGTGGTCCTGACCATTAAAGAAAAGGGTGAAAGGGAGCTTGCAAAATATACAGAGAAACAGATGGACTACAGTCTATAATTGTAGAACTACAGCGTGCACCTATATGCTTAACAGAGCTGATAAATACCTTTATTACAGAAATAAAAGTGTATTTTCCGTTTAAGATCAGCTTTTCATCTTCATTTTAAAAAATCATATTTTTCTAACAAATGTGTCACACTTATTGCCACTCTTGTGTGTAATACTTTGCGCCCCTCCCTAACTGCTGGATAAAGTGGGAGTATATACACTAAAGTAACTGGACACTAATTCTAATTAGTGAATTTAGCTACTTTAAGGTGAAATTGCGCACACATGGCATTTGAATAATCTCCATAGAAAACACTGCTAATAGAATCTGACATTCTGGAGGAGCCACACATGAGCCAAGGGTCACCATGCCCAATGCCATGTGTCAGTTAGAGGGGTATAAAGCTGTAGCAGTTATCTGGAGTGCATTATCTGGAGTGATGTAGCTCCTTCCAATACCTTTGGGATAAGCTGAAGTTGGTGTGGTTGTTTATTGGTGGTAGACTGGTGTAAAAAACTCTCCTACAGCTTGATGGCCAAAATTTTATATTTATGTTAAAACCAATCTTTTCTACAGTCCATTCTCACCTATTGTTACCATGTAAAAAGCATTTCCTGTAAACGATATACCTGTAAAAGCCTCTGGGTCAATCTCAATCCATTCCACTATAGAGTTTTCTTCATCCGTCAGCTTCAGCTCAATCTCATTAGCACTGTATGTTTGAGACCTGCAACCCATTCGGTATCAGAGCAGCACTAAATCAGCACCTCAAAATCACAAGTCAGGAAAATCCAACAGAAATCACAATTAGATCAAAAAGAGCAACGAGCCATGACCACTAGAGCTAGGCTTTCAGTTCAGGCCACAAATGGCAAACCTAGATCGAAAAATGAGAAAAACCCACTTCTTAGATAATACCTCTATAACATTTCTATTAGTGACCTTATGGGCTTCCTAGTACTGTGTTTACACTAAGCTAACAGCAGTTCACATGAACATTATTTAGGATATTCTACATAAAGCATGGATATTCCATATTTAACAGACATTAACACATATTTTACTTTGTATTTTGCAGTTTTACAGTGAAGAGCCCTGGCATACAGCTGCTGCTGCTGTTTTCCATTTCTATCAACTGGCTGAAACTTGGTTAGACTACCGCTCGTATTCACAGTCAGTCACATATCTAGCACATCTAGAAGATTTTTTTTCTCACTAAATTGATCCTACCAATTGGAAATCAAAGCGCGATTGATTCTACTGTCATTTCCTAAGTTTGTTGATAGTTAATCTGAGACTTCAGGACTTCAATCCATTTCCTGAAGTCCAAACCAATGGGAGAGCTAGCTTGGTGTACCTTAAAAAAATCTGATTGGATCATTTTCTGCTAGGCATTTTAATAATTAAACTCTTTTGTTTCCAACCAAAACTTAACAATTAAAAAAGAGTACAACTACAATACTTACAAAATCTCAATACAACAAGCATGATGGTTCTATGAGATAAAAATGAACTACAGAACTACAGACATGTGTTTGTTATTTCCCAAAAATTATTCTCTGAAGACCTAGAAGGTCTTTAGGGTTCAGCACTGCCAGATGGCTTCCCTCTTGATCTATTTGGTTAACTAAGAAATTGACTAACTGAGAAGTTGCTTTGTGAAGAAGTTGCCCAGGTACCTGTTTTAGACCAGCAACTAATTACCAACCCCTTGAAGAACTTTAACCCAAACACACCAGACTCTAGAATGTTCTCTGTCATTCAAAATTTCAAAAAACTTTTTGAACATTTTAAAGCCATCAGCAAACATCAGAAGGTTGGTGTTTGGTGGAGAAGGTGAGAGATGAGGAAAGTCCAAATGAGCTTCACCTGAATACCATGCTGCAGTTCTGCCAGTCAAAGGGGAAGTAGTTGACTTTGATGGCACAGGCGCTGCGGTAGATAGCAGGGGGCAACCAATAGACCATTCCATCTGGGTCTACCAGAGCGTTGGTATACAGTGTGATCTCAAAATGTCCATCAACGCTACACACGTTCACACATAGGAGAGAGGAGAGATGATTTGGGGAAACATGTATATTTTTGTATATTATTATCATTATTAGTGTTATTGTTGTTGTGTGCCTCACTTGTTCTCCAGTATGATATCAGGAAGCCAGATAGATTTGGAGGGAATGCGTGTGCGTGTGATGTTCTCATAGGCTTCAAATCCCGGCCTGTTAGCCCAACTGAGTCTATAGTCATACCATTGCTGCAGAGAGAGAGAGATAATATGCAAGGTAAATGTTCTGAATTAAATTCCAAATTCAATTCACTATTAAAATAAGTGTAACACAAATTTTACAGATGTAAAATAAAAAACAAGAAAGACACATTTACATTTCCTAATCTATCTTGAATAGTCCAGCCACAGGTTTTAAGTGACCTAAGCCTAGGTCAGACTATGACAATCAAGCAATGCTGTTTAAAAGATCATACCTTAGTCAGACTAGCACTCTCATACAAATATCGATTACTCTGCATGTAAACACAATTATTATTAAGAAAATGCAATCTTGAGCATTTCAGTGTCTTTAAACATTTGAATCTGGAATGAACTGACTCGCAGTAAAGCCTTCATTTGTATGTGTCAGCAAAGATCAGTGGTGTGACAGCAGCAGGTAAAGGTTTGATGTTTTCAGCTCTTACCATCTCTACCCAGACACATGTGGTCAGCGTCTCCTCCTTCTCATTCTGCAGGAGCACAGTGGAAGTTACGAGTTATTAGAACAATCATAGAGACCCCAAAATTGATATATGCACACTTTTACACTTTCTCATAATCATATCAAATAAATTTACCCCAATTCTTATGATTCTCCATCTACCTGATAATCTACACTCATAACATATGTCCAAAAGCTTGTAGACTCTTGGTCATCCAATATTTCTTCCAAAGTTAAGGGTATTACATATGAAATAGAGATGTACTGATCATGATTTTTTAATAGCCAATTCTGATTATTTTACAGCAAAGACAACAATGTTAAATATTTACTTTTTCACGAGAAGTTTTGTGCTTTGTAGGCAAAATGAACACACTGCTTTAAACCACTGCCTGCACAGATGCATGGATGTGCACGCAGATGTACATTTTCACAGGAAACATGCCATACTGTAATGTTCCTTATAGCTTGTAAAACAGAAGGTAACCCTCAGAGCCTTCTGGGCCTAATGGTTTCTGTTAATATGAAAAAAAAATATATATATAAAAAAAAGTATTTTTTATTTAAAATAATCACAATATTTCTTGTGGCTAAACTCTGCAAGTGTAGTAATTCTCTTATTCCATTCCATTAATTTTCATTATTCCATTTCCAAGTTTTGCTTGGAAAACAAAATGGTTAAATGCCCAGCAGCAAATTATCCAACCGGGACATTTTCTCTGTGGTATCTGGGTACATATAGCCTCTTGGTTAGAACTTCAGGAGCTGTACTGAAGTCAAAACATATCAGATGAAACCAATAACCTAAATTTGGGACAGAATTTTGTGAGAAAAATCGTCAATCTAGATCTTCTGGAACTCCTAAATAAATCACTGACTGCAAGTAGTGAAGCAGTAGCCTGACAGATGCATTTCAGTTGGAAGGAAGCAGTGACATCGCTATGACAGGGCTCTGAATCACTGTTAAACAGGTAAAATATACATTTATGAAATATCTTTTATAAGCTTTAAATGTCTGCGTCCGCCATCTGGAACGGCTAGAAATGTGAACTGCTAATATCTTAGCACTAACGTACAACAAAAATGTTATAAAGGTGCTATCAGATATTAGCATTGTTGTAGGGGTGTTTTTTTCCTTGTTTTTGACCAAGCTTTGACATTTATGAATTGAACTGTAGGCTTAGCAGTTACAGTCATCATTGTCACTGCTTTACATATATATGTATCAGATGAATCCTAGTAGGGGTCAGTTTTTGACAGAGCATGGAGCAGTTTTGTTTGTTAACCAGCTCAGCAGAAAGCTAACAGGCTAACAGGCTTCTGCACTCATATTCATATTTAGGCTTTAAGGTAAAATTTTAACTGAAAGATTCACTGTAAAACTGCAACATAAGGACTATGTTATACATTTATCTTACTAGCTAAGTAATATTAAACCCATTGTGAGTACATCACCAACAAATTGGTGCAAACATATAGGAAAAACCCTTTGATGTGCTAGATGAAATTAGCATTATGCTAGCGGAGGGACTGCTTACAAAGTGAATACTTTGACATTAAATACTGCTATTCCATGAAATATTTAGGATTATATGACAAAACACACACAAAAAACCCATTAACTTACTGAAATATCATATTTAAAAATAATGATAGTACAGGTTGTGCTATTGGAGAAAAGCAAAATGGCATCATAGGTGCTCCATAAAATTGCAAAATAAAATGGCTGACATGATTTTAATAAATTATCCACTTGCTCATCACTTATTAGTGAATTTTGGTTGACTCCAATTCTGGCCAATTCTAAGAAAGCACTAAGAAAGCAAAGTTTGTCACCCTTTGCTGCACTTACAGCTTCTACTCTTCTGGGAAGCTTTTACACTAAATGTTGGAACATTATTCGGCTTTGGGCATGGTGACCTTAGGGTCATGTGCAGCTTTTCTATGGAGATTATATGAGCTATGAGTGCGCAAATGAACACCTGTGGCCTTAAAGTAGTTCATTAATTAGAAGAAATGTCTAAACACTTGTTTAGCTAGCTTAGTTAAACACAGACACGCAGACACACACACACACACACACACACACACACAGCTTCACCAGAGAGATAAGGTTGGTGAGGGTCATCTTCAGTTTGACCTCCGTGATGTCGCCATTGTTCTCCATTGGTCTGATGTTTTTGTTGTATCCTTTCATCAGATCCCTGTGCAGAGCTCCCTCCAGATTGCATAGCACTCCTACAGAACACACACAATACATACATAAACACACACACATCCTTTGTGTACTTTACTTTGCAGGTTTGGACCATCCCTTCAACATGTGGTGGCAGTATGAGCGCAGACTGATTGAGGGAGGGAAGAGAACTCTGAGAACTTGAGCTGGAGTTCTGGGCGGCTTCTGCTTGGAGCTAGAAGGCCGGACACCCCCCTTTGAACTGTGGTAGGACTGACATAGGACTGAGGAACAGGGAGGAGATGGGGTGGCAGTGGGGATTACCAAAACTACACCATTGGAAACAGAAGGCACAGATATACATTTGCAGGATGTTAGGTTAGAAGGGGTTGTGGTTTCAGGCATACTCCTCCTCCTCGGTTACTCCATAGCTCCATTTGATTAGAGCTACATTGCATTCATCTAATGGAGTTATGGGACATCGCTGTATGTTTAGCTTCTTAAATTAAAAAGTTTTACTTTAAAACTCTAAATAAGTCTGTATAAATCAGTCTTTCCTAAGACGTACACATAGCACAACTGTAAAGAGGCTTGATTTTGGTGAAGTCAACTTTGACCTTTTTACCCTGTTAGCTTATGTTTGTAGTGACATTAAGCACAATTCATCATATCATTTCATTTAAAAGACAAAATTCTTGTTTTTTGTAATCTTTTATCCTCTTTTGCTCACCTCTAAAAAGTCTTTGATACACCATCATCATACACCAGCATGTGGGAAAAAATACTATTTACCAATATCATATTTCACCACCCCTTCCATCTCCCCCACCTATCATCAAGATAGTTCAGAGACCCTCCTAGATAGCACCTGTCACTCATATATGTCACCGTACTGAAAGACAATGTATTATTTCTGATTCACACTGATTCTAAATTACTCTTCAAAAACATATCTTTAGAAGTCTTTTAGAAGTCTTATTATTTCATATATATTTGTGTTTCTGTTTTTATTCACTTTTACAGATCACTTAGTTTGGACCCCCCTGGCCAGATTACACATGTTGATTTTTCAGGCCAAATCAATTGGATGAACTTAAAAATAGAAAAAATAAATTATTCATGGCAAATATATCAAATATAAAGTACTGAGCTTTAACATTTGCAGAAAATAGTTATTTTTTAAAATGAAAAAAAAAAATATCTAGAAGGCCTTACACATTAGATGAATTACCAACACAAGAATTAAGGCTGTTCATAATCATAACACTCAGAACTAAAGCTGTGTGCATGATCATGAAGCTATTTCCATAACCATAAATAAGGTTACGTCCATAATGATAACATAATAACTAACAATGTTCACCATCATGCAAATTATTAAAACCTATAATCACAACATAATTATAATAAAAAAATGTTTATAAAAATATCAATTATGACAAGATAATGTTCATAATCATAATCACAATCATAGCTAAAGCTATGTTTATGATCACAACAATCACGTCTAACAGTATTTTAGCATACACATAATTAGTATATTTATTGAGTATATTAATAATCGCTCAGTAAGGACAGGCCTCTTATCTATGTACCAGTAAACAACAAAAAAAAGAAAAAAAAGATTTACGTGTAAATGCAACAAATTACGTATTTATTAGAAGTGTCATGATTGCCAAAATTTTCTATTTATTAGAATATTCACCATCAAAAAGGTAAATATATAAAATTATATTAGATATATAAAATTATAAACTGGTACAGTGGAGTTTAGCCTGATCCATTCAGACACACTTAACAGCACAGAGACACTAAACACAAGCCGTGCTTCACAGTGTCTCAATATAATGCACTAGCCACAAGATAATATATCAGCTACAATACGACAATACAGTATGATAAGTTACAATATAATACATTTATGCACATCTATTATTTAAATACATGAAGTACTGCGTAAAAATCTCAGGCAGCTGAAGCAGGTATTGGAAGGTAACTGTAAATACTGAACTTTGGTCTGGAAATGGTTGAGCTAACATACTTACACACACCAAATCACCATGTATAGTTTATTTGTTTATGTGTGTTTCACTGTTGTCTGAAGAAAACCTTGTATCTCCAAAATGGTAACTTTACAGGAGAAGGAAAAAACGTGCTTTACTTTTAATGGAAGTCAATGGAACCAGACTTCTTTCCAAGTCATTTTGGGCCATTTCTTTTGGTATGTTCATCATGAAATTTACATGCAAGGTAAAGGGCAACAGGCATTTTCAAATTATGTCAAAAACTGAAAAATGACAAAAATGGAGATACAAGGTTTTCTTCCGACAGCAGCGATTTATTCTAATGTTAACATATAAATGCTTACTGCCCAAATAATCTCATTTTCTCACATGTCTAGGAGTTTTGTACAGTACAGTGTGTGTATGGTTGATGTCACTGTAGTTTTTTATGTAGTAGCTGCTGCTTTTCTGACTTCAAGCCTCTTGACTAGATCATTAGTGTAATATGATGATGTCATTATGAAGAGTTGTCATTGAACATATTTACTGTGTTAAATAATGAAGAAATGAATGAAAGAATGAATGAATCAGGAATGGAAGGAGTTTTACCTGAGAGGAGGAGGCTCAGCAGTGTCCATGCACGCACAGCTGATAGAGAGAGGTCAGTCATGACTGTACAGCTCAGCTCACTCACTCACAAGCTCACAGCAGCATTTCTCCTCTCCTCTCTGAACGCACCACCTGAGAGGGTCTGGAGTCCGCAGGACAGAACAGAGAAACGTGTGTGTGTGAGACAGTCAAGGATTGAAGTGAGTGTGTCTTTCACCATCAGTCAGTGATGAGTGCACGGTGTGTGTGTATGTGTGTGTGTGTGTGTGTGTGTGTGTGTGTGTGTGTGTGTGTGTGTGGAATAATAGGTGTGGTTTTTGTCTCTCATTCATGGAGTTATTTTTAGAATGCCTACTACATTCTATCTACACCATTGACGGACCCCCACATTATCAGCTGTCTCACACACACACTCACACACAAAGCACATAAACACACACACACACACACACAGCGCACAGGCAGTGTTTGAGCACAGTGGGGGTCACAGGCCAGGTCAGAGCAGGTCAGAAACAGAGTCTGTGACGGGAATCTGCTGTATTTTAATACCTCATTCCTGCTCTCTCTCGCTCTCTCTCTCTCTCTCTCTCCAGTCTTTCTTTCTTTCTCTGTCTCTTTCTAATTTGTGTCTAATCTATTATTTCCTTCAGATTCTCAATTTTAACACCTCTGTCTTTCTGCATTCTTCTATCTATCTATCTATCTATCTATCTATCTATCTATCTATCTATCTATCTATCTATCTATCTATCTATCCTCCTATCTATATCCTCTCTTTCTCAATTAATTTCTTCCTATCTTTCCACTTTTGCCTGACTACACCTCTCTATCACTGTCTATCTCTCTCTCTCTCTCTCTCTCTCTCTCTCTCTCTCTCTCTCTCTCTCTCTCTCTCTGTCTCTGTCTCTCAGTAAAACAATGAGCTTGGGTTACAGTAACTCCCGCAGATCTGGCTGCAGATGGTGTGATGAAAGCAGAAGTGTGGAGGGATGAGTGTAGGCAGCTGTCCTCCATTCATTCCTCGCTCCCTGTTCAAGCACTAAAGGCCTGCTTTACTAAATGCCATCTCATATTAGCATTTCTGCCCAGGGAATTTCAGTGGCATGGTTAATGATTACAGCATCTCAAATAGCTCAGCCTGTAATATGGACTTTTGTCTGTGGCAACACAGCAACTTTAAATTAATGCAAAGTAACTCTGATGTGTGTTTCTGTACTTGATTGAAAATACCCACTCAGTTGTTGGTAAGCATTAACGTGAAACACGTATTTATTTTAGAATGTTTTACTGAATTCATTAGTCAAAGGTACTTATAAATAAAGCTGTAAATTCAGATATGGAGAACTTTATTGCTAGAGTGTAACAATTCACACATGCTAATAAAGCTGAAAGTGAGAAGGCAAGCAGATGAAGCCAATCACCACTTTTTTTAAAAATTGATGCTAAACGCACCTTCACTGAACAGTTCAGTGCACTTGGAGGACAACACTAACTGATTATGTTACATCAGCTAATGGACATCCACACTAGAGTTTTAATGGGCCTGATGTTTTGGTTTGAACCCAAATACAGCCTGAGAATTTTCACACAGCTTGGCACTTTGAATCTGAACCCAAACTTAGCTCAGCAAAATTCTGCCCAAACATGACCAGAACCAATTCATTCAGGTTTCAGTCTAAAACTGACCCAAATCTCAAGAAATTATGTCCAAAATGGACCTGAACTGGCCCATTATCACTCAAAATAAATTTCTAATGACAGCACTTGTTAACTTACAGTGTAGCAACAGGTATAGTAAATTACTAAATAGTTTATAGTTAAAAGATAAATGATATAAATGATATAAATAATATAAAATTATTTTTATATTAGCAAAATTAAAAACTTAATTTACACAAAATGTTACATATACTATATTGAACATATGAAATATTTGGCCAAACAAATTAATCATCCTTTTAGCTGCACTAAACTATACTATCCTGAATCAATTGCCATACATCCATTTTCTCATGATAATGGCCTTGTGCTAAGACCTCAGTGCTAAGTTCTGTCATCAGTGTGTGACTTCAGAATGCAGATCAAATATAATTAAAAGATAAAGAAAGTAGAGAGGAATAACAAATTTAGGAGAAAAACTAAAGAAGGGGATAAAGCAGGGTAACATCTAAACCCAGGGTAAAATATGAACCCAACAGGAGACTGACTCATGTTTGAGAAATGACGTCTGAATCGGTAGCAGGGAGTCCAAGAGAGCATAATTGGCCTCGCTCTCTCTGGGAGGTTAGGTTGATCCTCCTTCCTCCCACTGGGTTCAATTAAGCTCTAGCCCACACTGGATAGCATTGCACGTGATGTTGAGGGAAAATGGAGGACCAACTTACCCACCCAGACAGCCAGGCCAGTTATGCCCCCTCAGACTCACGGCCATGGAGGGATTGAGCTCGTTATGTCTTGATGATAAGGCTTACGCTTCGACAGTTGTGCCATTCAGGGTGATGAATATTTTTTTAATAATGATTAAATTCTTTAAAATGTGCTAACGACTCAAGCAGATATCGCTGTAATGGTGCAACGGTCATCGCAGCATTAGCTCTGTTCTAGGCATGAAAAAGCCTCTGTTGTTCCTGTGACTTACAAGTTACAGCAATACATAAACAGGGCTTTAAAACAAATAAACCTGCCTATTCCTTGTCCTTTCACTTGTTTCCCTTATAGATAAACCACACAAATTTCACACCTCGTACTTTACGTTATTTTTCACACACATGTGAAAAAAGTTTGATCTTGTGGCACTTTATTTTTCATGGGATAACACATTATTCACGTGTTTATTTGTAAAGGCATGGGTTTTTGGATGCTTCACATGTGAACTATACGTGACTTTTCTGTAAAGAGTTACTTGTCACTGTTTCCACTGTTCAAGAATTAAGTGTGAGGTCTCTATAGTTTTGGCGTATTTCCCTTTCAGAGAAAACATGTGATTCCATAGGCTGTTAGGATTTGCTGATCCATGCTGTATCACACTTAGCAAACCACTCAACCAGCCTTCATACTTTTACCATCACAGCAGCTGTTTCACATGAAAATGCTTAAAAAACAGTGTTGTAATGTCACATATAGTAAATATTAAATTTCTGTTTTGTGCACTCATCAACATTCATCAACAAGCCTGCCACTAGCCCAAGGATGTAATGTAAGTTAGCATGGCTGAAAAATCCTCCCAAAAAACTACAGGAATTTTACAGGAGTTTTAAAGAGAGTTAGCCTTCTTTCCAGATTTTGCCACAATCCAGCACCAGGGCTGTTTAATTAAAAAAAATTGGAGTCAACTCTGATGTGGAGTGACGGGAATCTAAGCCAATTTTTTCATTACAAGTAAAATACCCATGTACGACTTGTGTAATGATATATTTTTCATACATACTGTCTAGACAGTGACAGCAGAATGTCTCACACTGTGCACGTACGCAGGTGTGGGCAAACTTGAATGTCTCTGTGTAGAATTTGGGTCCAAAGTTTTGGAATCCACTCTCGACTCACAAAGGCCTGTCTATTCTTTCTGGGATCGACTCTCAGGCCTATCCAGCACCAACATTTTGACAAGTTGTCCCCAGACATGTACTCTCCAGCTGGTCCCGCGAGAAGATGCGTAATCTAGAGAGCAGCTAGGAAAATCAAACATTAAACAAAGTTTGCTTGATGCTATTATAACATTTCCCAGCTAATGGAAATTAGCATTCTCTTAGAGGTGGCAAACAGTGTAAACAAAAATACTTACAAAGTGAATTACAAGGTTTCTGCATTAAACATTGCTGTGTAATGGCATACTTGTCTGGTTCAGCTGACACATGCTCAGGAGCGATGATCAGCTTAAAGAATCAACACCCAGAAAATGACCTTTTCTTCACAGAGGAGCAAATGACACCCTGGACCCATATCAAAATAAGGTGTCATTTGTTTTATCATCCTAACAGCTGTCTTTCAATGAGCACAGGGAACAATATTTAATCGAAAAAGAGTAAAATATATCTCCTTTAAATCAGGGAAAACATTACCCTGAGCAGTACAGCACACAGTACTGCAGCACTGCCACCCTCAGGAACTGGACACCCCTGCTGTAAAACAGCATGGTGTATATATAAACAGTGCAGTGTTCTGTCCAGCTGTCTCTAAAACTCCTGAGTCATCAGGCATCGCCAGGCCAGTTGTAGGGGGGCTTTAGCCTAAATATTATTTAGAATGTACATCCACTGCTAAAGAAAGCGAGTGAGTGTTGTTTAATCTTTCAGTTAAATTTAATACTTAATGTGTAGATTTAGAATATAAAATACAATATTAAAAATATTTTTTGTGCTGGTAAATTTCACTGTGTCCCTGTCATTTAGACTATTACATATGTGAGCGCAACTGCAGAACAAAATCACACTGATTGCACAAACTGAACTACTGAAACAGACTGAACTAATCTATAATCTGTGTATTTGAATAACATATCTAGGACCTGCAGCTGATCTAGAAGAGAGGAGATAGCTTTGCGTAACTGATCTGTGCTTGAAATACTAAGAAGATACAGATCATCTGTGTGCCAACTTGACCTAATAGCCATTTTTTGATCAATTTTCTGTCTGTTGCTGCTCTAAACATTCATCATGAACAGACATTTTGGAGCCATTAAAAACATCCTCCTGGGGGAACATACCCTCAGACCTCCTTAGTAAACGCTTAACCCACCATCCATAAATCTCTAGTGATGCCCCTGTGAGTCATCAGGGCCTCAGTAGCATATGGACCCTAAAAAAAGCAACACTCCACCCTGGTATAGTCTGAGAAACATTAACGAGTGGCGTAAATCCAAGACGTTGAACTTATTCACTGCATGTTTCTGCATTTACACTCCTACCGCACTACTGACTTTTCTCATGAGCAATTGTGTGATTATCTGATTACTTAAATGATTGTGAGAAGGAAAAACAAATAAATATACTTTGTAAGGACCAGGGCTCAGCTCAAGAATCACTACTACTACAAAATGTTGATCCAACCTTTAAATACAACAACATGAGTAACACAACACAGGGCATCTAAGTAGTAGCAGAGGCCAGTTTCTCTAAAGATATTGCTGAGTAGACCAATCAGAAGTAGTACCTGAACTGGATTAAATTCTCAGATTAAGTT